ACTCGTGGGTCCAGTACCTCTGCGAAATCTTGTTCGGAGATGCTCTCGCTCGAGGAGATGCTCTTCAAATAGCCTTCCCATCCCGAAAAAGCGCGTCTTTCCAAAATCCCCGGCTCGGCCCGAAGGCCTGGGTCGGTGGCGAAGCGGGGGGCGACGTAACAGATGACTATCTTCGGATCATCGTCATAACGATAAGCCTCGCCTGGCTCTGGTTCGCTCAACGGAATTTGGTCAAACTCCACGATGGCCAATTGCTCGTCGAGGTCATGTATGTTGTTTACCTTCAGGTGGTCTTGCGAGATCGTTACGAGCGAGGTGCCGAAGAGAATGCTGCGACGGGCTTGGCTGTCGTGCTCGACGCTGCCGAGTGTGCTCAGGCTGCCACCGCCCTGTTGATCGACATCAACTTGGAATGTCCAGATCGCCGAGTGGCTGTCGTAGTAGTCGTCCCCTTCGTACCAACTCACCGGTAGGGTAAGTATCTGGGACTCCTCGAAATAAGCCACTGCGTGGTGGTCCCACCAGGCTTCTGAGTAGGACCATGTCGTGCCCTCCATCGACACTTGGTCGACCAGCGTTGGGTTGCTCATGTCGCCCACGTAGAACAGCGAGATCTGAACGGGCCCAAGTTCACCGGTGATTTCGTTCGCATCGCGTCCAATGCCGAGCAGGTAATCTTCACCGACTGGATGTAAGTAGTCGGAATAGCCGGGAATCTTCAGCGATCCGGCGAGTGTGGGATTCGTCGCATCGCTTAAGTCGATCACAAACAGGGGATCGATGACCCGAAAAGTGACGACGTAGGCCACATCATCCATGAAGCGAACAGACTTGATCGTTTCAGTAGGAGCCAAATTCTCGACACTGCCAACTACCTCGAGCGTAGCCCCGTTCTGTTCCAAGACGAACAGATGATTCACTCGCTCGAGTTGGCGAGTGCGCTCGTTCCCGTACCGGTCGATATACGTCTCGGTAAGTGTGTCGGTCGTAGCGATGCGGAATCGCCCCTCGTGCTCATCGACCGAGAATTGGTTGAGAAGTCTTCCGTCGACCTTTCCTGTCGCCACCAGAGTGGGCGAGCCCTCCTCGTCGATTGAGAATTTGAAGATCGTTGTTTCGTGCTGGTCACTCCGCATGACGTAATACGAATTGCCCGACATGTAGACTTCAGCAGCCGCCGAGGTAAAGATACCGGCAGAATCAAGGGGGCCTGCCTGGTCGTCGCTCACATCGAAAGTTACCAGCGACAGCAATGAGTTGTCCGCTTCATTCACGGGCTTGTGAATCATCGTCGGGTCGGTCAATAACCCAGAGGCGACGAGGTTGCCCTCTCCATCGTAGGTGCGATAGTTGGGCAGTGCCTCTTTAATAAGCGTCTCGCGAACCCGGACGACGTATTCGTCGAGGGTTTCGTACCGCATTGCCTCGGTTTCCCCCGAGGTGCCATCCGTAGTAAGGGGGCGAAGTTCCAGCGGTGGTAGATTCAACCCGCTTACTGTGACATAGACCTGATCCCCGACTGCGCGGCTGTCGACAATCCGGCCATCGATTTCAGTCCGCTCAAGAATCGTCGGTGCCGAACGATCGGAGAGGTCGAGCACAGTGACCACGGCCGAAGTATTGTAAGGAGCGATTCTCAGACCGAATCCCGTGCCACACCAACCGGAATATCCACCGCGATGAATCAAGGTGAGGCGATCACCCTGTAAATACATTTCCGAGTATGAGTCGCCAAAGTCAGTTAGCGAGACCACCTGCGGATTCGCGGGATCAAGAAGGTCGACAATGGCCAGTTTGCCATCGGCGAAGGTGTAGATAAACCGTCCGTCGGTTTCGGTGATGTCGGCCTCGTCGATGCCCGTCTCCTGGGTGTTGGTCGTACTCGCCAGGGCCGCCATATTGTCAATCGACAGCATGGCGAAAACGGCTGATTCCTCATGTCTCAGACTTAACATAGGCCAAGCGTTCGAGCGGGATACCCCAAATTGAAATCCGTATTGCGCGACCGCCTGTTCAATCAGGAAGTGTTCCAGCTCGCTCGGCGAGATGAACTTGGGCACTCCTTGGCTGGTGTGGTCGTCTGCAGTCACCAACAGCGTGACGGTTGCCGTGTCGCGGTGTCCATCGGCATCTTCCACCGTATAAGTGAACGTCTCTTCTCCAACGAATCCGGCCTGTGGTGTATAGCGGATTCCTTGGGGACCTTCGAGACTGATCGTTCCGCCTTGGCTGCCCGTGCCGACTTCGACGATCGCCAGCATCGCTTCCGGACCGTAAAGGAACCGGTCGTTCCTCCAGGCTTCCAACAAATTGCTACTGCTGTTGGCGGGAATTGAGTACCAATCGTCAACGGCCAAGAAAGAGTTATTGATTTCGACCGTGGAAGATTGCTCAACCCGTTGGTAGTCGTTGGGGCCGTATTGAACCGTGTAGGTGAAGCTGCTTCTTCCGAGATAGTTGTCCCATGGGTCGAACAGCAAGCTGCGTCCATCGTCCGAGATGGTCAGCGTTCCCCCTTCGGTATCCGAGACGTCGACAATCCGAGGTTGCTCGGGAGTGCCTGTCCTGTGCCAATCGTTAGCGAGGACATCCAGCTCATGCACGCCAGGGCGAATTACTCGAGAGATCCAATCAGGCTTGGTAGTGAAGGGTTTCTCGATGGAGACAGTGAACTGGAAGGTCTCGCTTTCACCGGCTTCCGTGGCAACGGTGTATTCGTAGGTTTCTGCTCCGGTAACCCCAGGTGCCGGTTGATAGACCAACGACTTGCCATCGTCCGCGATCGCAATCGAGCTGCCGAAGCTGGCAAGTGCCCGGATTTCTACGATCTCGCCTTGGTCTTGGCTCCTTAGAACTTCGAGATTTCGCTGAGGGCCATCCTCGTAAACGCTGAAGTTTCTGCTTCGATGCTGCGGAAAGATGGCCTCATCGAAAGTTGCAAGAACGTCAACGTGCACATTCGCCTTACCAAGATTCCCTGCACTGTCCTCGACGATGTAGTAGAAGGAATCGCGGAGGTCTCCCTCCACCGGGGTGTAAATGATCCGCTGCCCGTCGTCGGAGATGGAGACACCTGCCCCAAGGGCTGTCTCGCTGACGCTCTTAATGCGTAGCGTCTCCCCGCCGGCGGGCTGCGGATCGTTGGCCAGTACATCGAACCGAATCTGCTCGGTGTCGGTACTCAGCTCGAAATAGTCATCGTGGGCCTCCACCCCGGCGACACCAATCACGGTCTCCGTGTCCTCGGGCGGGTTGGTGTTCACAAACCCGGCCCCGTCCATCACAAGTCGAGCTTCAAACTGCTCGAGGCGCAGTGATAAGCCTTTAGATCGTAAACGATTACGAAAATTCGCCTGCTGGAAATCCTTGCCTAATCTGCGTAGGAAGGAGTTAGAAACCTGCCTGCGATGCCCCATGGCTGTCACCCCAAAAGAACCGGAAGAACTAAGCGAAGTTGTGTGCTTAGTCCCATAGGCCGGCGGTGGGGGGAAATGTCACGCCGGAAGCAAGAAAAATTGCCGTAATCGCGAATTTCCTACTGAGCAGTACCAAATCGCGAGCCGCGGGCGGGCTCCTGCTCGTCGTCTGGCCGAGCAACTCGCTGCCAGGCGATCAGTGCCGCACCCACGGCGGCCCGCAGCACCATGGGGCCGGGGGCGGAGCCTAGAAGTGAGGTTTGGTTCGATTCCCGGCTCTTGTCGACGCTGGAGACGGGCACACCCTCTGGAGGTGCAGATAGGGCTTCTACGTCGATCTGGGAATGTTCCCCGGGGGCTGGGGTGCGTTCGTCGTCGTCGAGCACCATTTCCAATGCCATCGCCCTGGCCAGTTCGCCTTCCAGCGGAAGCTGATTAGAAATGGCCGGGATATGGACGACTCCGTGCTCTTCAATGACCGCCGCCACCGCAGCAAACACGTGGTCTTCTTGTGCCTGCTGCGTTTGCTGCACGGCAACTGCCACGTCGACAGGACCACCTTCTGAGGTGAATTCCAAATCTCTCTCGGCTGCTTCCAACCCAACAGCTAGCGGCAACGGCTGGATTCGATTGCTAGACTGCGGGAATGCCGAGACCGGGGGGGCTCCCTCGCTGTGGTTGCCAATCGGCTGGGAGCTGGCTTGCTGTTCGTAGCCGGGAGTGTCGACGTTCGCTGAGTCTAAGCCAGTCTTATTAAGGGCTTCTCTGCCATCAGCTTCGTTCAACAACCCTTCGGTCGAACTCTCAGACCGCTGCTTTCCGTCGGTCGTCGCCTCATCAACGACAAGCTGATCGCGCGCATTCAGTTCCTGGAAAGCTGCCGTAGATCGACTCAGACCTTGCCGTAGATCAGATGGAAGTGTGCGGTCTGGTACATTCCCCCGAATCACCGTGCTTGGCATCAGTGCCTGAGTGCCCGGCCCACCATTTCCCACCGAGCCAATACCGCCAAGTGATCTTTGGGGATTCGACTGGGGAAGATCGCGCTCAGCATTTCTCCACGGATCGAACGGAGGTTTGACCGTGATGTTGTCTTTCACGCTTTCGTCTGCGAATGTTGAATCGGCCCCACTGCTATCTGGGCTTGGCGATCGAACGTGAAATACGGGTTTCCCTCCGAAGTTCAGAGCTTCAGATGAGCCAAGATATCCGCCAGCATTTAGTGTGTAGAAACCACCTTCACTTGAGGTAGTGGCCGTGGATACGGTCTGAATGGTGATATTGTGCACCCAGACCGGAAGGTCTTCACTTTGAGTTGCAGCCTCCCCTGCGAGCGGAATGCTCGACAAAGCAAGTCGCTCTTCACATCGCTCCAAACTCAAACGTCGTGCACCACTCAGGTGCGCAGCACCGCGTCCCGTGGATCGTCGCACTGGCCGAGATGGACGTGGGAAGGGAAACATGGATTGCACTTTATTGAGCGAAGTAATTTCTGCTAATCTTCACCAAGTCTTGGCGTAATTCGAAATACAATCTTGCTTGTATTTGAATCATTCGTTTCGGTCGAGATCGTATCAATCCCATTTATGGGGCATGCTCGGCTCCGCTGGTCTCATGGGAACTTGCACTTTTCAGGTGTTTGTTAACCAATGTCTTGAATTCCGGCAGATTTTGCAGCGATACCAGTCGCGGGTCGTGCGATAGTTCGTTCGAAGGCTCATAGCCGGCTTCCAACGCCTCACGAAGGGTTTCGAGGGCTATTGAAGCGTCGAGAGGCATGTCGGCCTTGTCGCTTTGTTCAAGAATGTGAGCCTGCTCGACGGCCACACCAAACAACCGCTCGCCATGATCTTTCCACAGCTCGCGGCGCAAGGAGGCGAGTTCGTAGGCCTCTTGGAATCGACCGAGTTTCTGTAGCGATTGGCCGTAGTTGTAATACACGCGACTGAGCGTCTGTCGGGCTGCTTCCGATGGTTGAAGCTGGGCACTCACCCGTTGTTGTACTTCCACCGCCTGTTCGTATGCCGCCACGGCATCTTCATGCCGATCGATGCGAGCCAAGGCCAGGGCCTGATTGTTCAACAGTGCGGCCCAGCCACTTGCGTAAGCAACCTGATCCGGGAAATCGGCCATCAGAGCGGCGAAGAGATGATTCGCATAACGGAACGACTCCACAGCCGAGGCAATGTCCTCGGTCGCGATCTCCAATAGTGCCAAGTTGTTCAAGCTGGCCGCCAGTTCGCTGCGGTACTGCACCACCTCGGGCGACTTTCGCAACAGCGATTCGCGAAGTTCAATCGCACGATGATACGAGTCGATGGCGTCGACTGTCCGCTCATCCGCAGCTTGGATAGCAGCCAGGTTGCTGTAGCACAGCGCGAGATCGGCCTGAACGCCTTCCGATACTTCGGGACTTTCGGCGAAGCCCTGAAGTATTTCGACGGCCCGCACGGCGGACTTTTCGGCCAAATTTGCATCTAACGGGCGTTGGATGTAGCTCAGATTGTTGTACGCCACCGCCAGGTTTCGGGCTTGTTGAGGGTCGTCTGGAGCGGCCGCGGCAGTCTCGTGCAAAATGGTCACGGCGTGGGTCAACGATTGAATTGCGGCGGCACTTTCGCCAAGTTGGCCCAGCAGCGTTCCACGATTTACGTGGCTCTCGGCCAGGTGCCCGGCGTAGGTCTCATTCTCAGCGTGGCTGGCAACTAAGTGCTGCTGTGCTTCGATGGCCTGTTCGTATTCGTTGAGTGCGGCATCGGAGTCTCCCTGTGCAGCAAGTAGCAATGCCAGGTAGTTACGCGAAAGGGCAAGTTGCGACCGCAGTTCAGCATTCTCGGGGTCTTGTTCGATGAGCTTGGCCAGAATCCGTTGCGCGGTTCGATACTCGGCGATTGCCTTATTGCTCGCGCCAAGCTTCGCTGTGACGACACCCGCCTTGAGGTGAGTCATGGCCATCTGTTCTTGCAGATCGTCTGCGGTGCCAATCTTCTCAAGGAATCCCCGGTAGTAGTTCAATGTTTCCAGCAGCAACTGTTGCCGCAGGCGCTCTGTGCCAGGGGTGCCTTGCAATTGGTCGGCCAACTGAATTCCGAAGCGGTCGACCACATCGCGAGCCTGCTGAAAGTTCTCTTGCGACTGGACCAAGTGCGTTCGAGAGAGTTCGAGGGCCGCTTCGGTCTTGTTTTTCTCTTTGGCCAACAGCACTGCAGCCACGGTTGATAACGTTGTGAGCAACAACAGCACAAACAACGCAGAAGCCGCCACCAGTCGGTGCCGACGCAGCCACTTAGCGGTGCGGTCCGCGATCGTCGGTCGTCGGGCGAGTGTTGGCTTGCCTTGCAGGAATCGGTTCAGGTCGTCTGCGAGTCCCTGCGCGGTCGTGTAGCGACTTTCGCGTGACTTCGACATCGCCTGCAGAACGATCGTCTCCAGGTCGACAGGTACATCTGGGTTGAGCGATCGTGGCGACTTCGGGTCGTCATTGCCAATCGCTCGTAGCACTTGATGCCGATTCTGCCCTGGGAAGGCGGCTCGCATGGAGAGCAATTCGTAAAGCGTTGCCCCCAAGCAATAAATGTCGGTGCGAGTATCAACCAAGGTGTGCTCGCCGGCAGCCTGTTCGGGGCTCATGTACCGCAGAGTTCCGACGACATCGCCCGTGACAGTAATTCCCGGCGCGTTTTGAACCCGTGCCAACCCGAAGTCGGTGATCCACAGTTTACCGAGATGATCGACCATCAAGTTCGAGGGCTTGATATCTCGATGCAACACGCCGTACTCATGGGCATGGTGCAAAGCCTCTGCCGCTTGAATGCCCAGTTGTGCGACTGAGCGAAAATAGGCCGCGCGATTCTTGGAGTACTGCTCTGAAAAAGTACTGCCCGGCTTCGCAACTCGCTTCGTGGTAACCGCCAATCGAGTTTCGCTGGGAGCCCCATTGAAGTCGGTGGTGGGCTGGTTGGCCTCGGCATCGCGACGCAATTCGCGAATGGCCTCTTCCAGCGATTGCCCAGCGATAAACTGCATCGCGTAGTAATGCACCCCACGCTCTTCACCCACGGCGAACACGGGCACGATGTTCGGATGGTGCAACTGGGCTGCCGCGCGGGCTTCGTTGTGGAACCGGGCGATGTGTTTCTCATCCCACACCGCCGCGAATGGCAGCACCTTCAGTGCTACTTTGCGATCAAGGGAGATCTGCCGCGCTTCATAAACCACGCCCATGCCACCGCGACCGACTTCATCGCCAATCTCGAAGTCGCCCAATCGACGGGCGTAGTCGGTCTCCGGGCGGTCTTTTGCGGTGGAACGAAACTGGTGTGTCACCTGGTGAAGCACATCCAGCCCTTCGGCAAAGGCTCGAATATCGTCGGCCAGTTGTGGGTGCTCGGCGATCAGGCGTTCCAAGTCGAGTGGGGCCCCGCTTTGGAGCGAGGAGAGGTAGTCGTCGAGCAGCCTGGCCAGAAGTTCTTCCTTGGAAGTAACTTCGCCAGTTTCAGTTCTCGGCGAATTCATGGTGACGTCGTTCATCTCACACGTCTCACGACCGCATGTCTTCTCGCAGGGCCTGCAAAGCCCGGAGCCACAACATGCGGGCAGCCCCCGCAGAGCGTTCCATGCGGAGGCCGACCTCTTCAAATGGGAGTGCCTCGATATTTCGCAGCACGATCACCTCGCGATAGTCTGCCGGCAGTTGCGCCAACTTGTCGGCCAGCTTGATTTCCATCTCAAACTTCTGCACGTTTCCACTGGGTGATTCACCCGGGTCGGGCAGAATGCTTTCCAGTCGGGCGGCCGATTGCTCGAGCGAATTGGCCAAGGCTTCGATTGAAACTTCTCTCCGCACATCTCGCTTTTGTGTTAGCACATGTTGCTCGACCACTCGATGCAAGTTGTTGACCAGTATTTTCCGCAGCCAGGCCCAAAACTCGTTGCTCGTCGATCCGCGAAACTTCTCGAAATCGCGGGTCGCCTCGAGAAAGGTTTCCTGAAGGATATCCGAGGTGCTCACACGGGTGAGCAGCTTCTGCTCCAACTGAGTCATCACCAGCAGGTTCAAGTAGTTTCGATACAGGTGCAGCAGCTTACCGAAACACTCATGCGAACCCGCAAGTGCTTGTGACAAAAGGATATCGGCATTGGAGGCTGAGCTTTCCGTCATAGACCCTTCTATAGACATGGCCGAAGCCCTCGAAGTTTGTCACGCGAAATCTCAAAAAAGATTGTTCGCCAAAATGCCAGCCTTCAGGATAGCTGGGCCAGAGGAATCGCGGCAACTTCCGTCTCAGGTTTAGAGCGGAAGCAGACTTGGAGGGAAGAGTTCTCCGGTGGCAAATGCGGCCAAGAGTGACCGCCAGCAGGCCTGAATCGCCGTAAGAGTTTCGGGCTATTCCACCGGAAGCAGCTCAACCACCGGCTCGGAGGCGGGTGGTGGGACCGGCTCGGGGTCGGCATCGATGATCACCGGCATCGGGGGCTGCCAGCAGCGGATCTGCCATCCACCGCCCAGGGCGCGGTAGATCTGAATCAGCGAGATCGCCACCTGGGCTTCAGCCTCTGCGAGATTGTCCTGCTCGGAGACCAACTCCCGCTGCATGGTGGCGATGCGATTGAAGTTGCCTTCACCGTTACGGTACTGCACCAACGCGATTTCGTTTGCCCGTTTCAGTGCGTTCACACTCTTCTGCAGCGCGTCGACAAGTAACTGCGACTGGAGATAGCTAACGATGGCGTTCTCAGCCTCCTCGTTGGCTCGCAGCACCGATTCCTGATACGTGAATACGAATTCCTGGAAGGTTGCGGTCTGCCCACGAATGTTATTCGCGATACGCCCGTAATTGAGGATCTTCCAATTGAACGAGGGCCCGATGGTGCCCGAATTCGCTGCCGAGTTGAACATCGATGGGAAGTCGTTCGCGTGCCAGCTAAGTGTGCCCATGATTTTGAATTCTGGGTACAAGTCGGCGGCTGCCACACCAATCAGCGCACTCTGCTCAGCCACGCGACGCTCTGCCGCCCGAACATCAGGTCGGCGGCGGATCAACTCGGCGGGGATACCGACCACCACTTCTTTGGGCACATCGGGAATCGGGGCAGGGCCCAACTGATCGGCCAGATTCATGGGCGGGATGCCAAGCAATACGCAAAGTCGATTATTCGCGATTCGCAGTTCGATGTTTATCGCGGGAATTAATGCTTCGGTATTGGCCAATGTCGCTTCTGCCTGATCGACATCCAACTGCGAAACGGCACCTTGATCGTAGCGCGCTTTCGCAATGTCATAGGTCATGCGTTGCAGTTCGGCATTTTGTATGGCCAACCTCAGGCGTTCCTGATACTCGCGCACTTCCACATAGGCGGTGGCCGTGTCTGCGAGCAGGGTTACGAGAATCTCGTCGTAGTCGAACACGGATGCGTCGAGACTGGCATCGGCCGCTTCGATCGCCCGCCGGAAGCGGCCCCATACGTCGATCTCCCAGCCCAGATTGAACCCGGTTTCCCAGGAGTTGAAGTTGCGAGGGATCTGAATCGGAGTGGGCAACCGATTGTTCAACTGGTTGAGCCCGGTAAGGTCTCCTTTCTCGGAACGTTGGATCCGCGTGTATCCTCCCCGCATGGATTGCAGTTGGGGAAAGATTGAACTGTCGGCGATCGCCAATTGGGTTCTGGCTCGAAACACCCGCATGCCAGCAGCTCGAAGGGTCAGATTCTGTCGGTGAGCTGAGAGCACCAGCTCGTTCATCAGTGGATCGTTGAAGTTCTGCCACCACGCGAACTCATCCACTCCGATCGAGGCGTTGATCAACTTCGGATTGTTGAAGTCGATCCAGTCGGGCGCGACCGGAGCCGGCGGAGTGCGATAGTTAGGCCCGACTTTGAACCCGTTGCGAAACCAATCGATGGGACGCACGTCGTGTAGCCCGGCGCACCCAGAAAACAGTGGGGCTGTAAGCAATCCCAATACCAGCGTGGCCACGCGGGCACACCTGATAGGGATCGATTTGGCGTGTGTTAGCAATCTGAATTGCATGGGCCTGCAACACCGCCAGCGTTCGGTACCTTGGATAAAACCGGGTCAATTCGCTAAATCGGTACATCCGCTACCTTGTGATTAGGCTGTACGACCGAGCGTGCCGAACCACTACAACCGTTAAGCTTTCGCAAGGCGTCGTAACCTGTCCCCGCTCGATCGAGCAGAAGCCGTCTGTCGTCTCTCTTCTCCACATCGATTGCGACACCTTCAGCCGCGTCGTCCCAAGATGTGTCGAAAGCGATGGACAAGTGCCGATGGCAGTGAATACGGAACGCCCTACATCCTCAGTGCGATGCACTGCTAGCTATTGCGTCGCAGCCCGAAAGTCCATCATGCGTCTGTTTGTTTCTAGATATTTGGTTTTTATTACGCTGGGAGTTGTCAGCATCTTGGGGTGCAAGCCCAAGGCGTTGGAGACCGGTTCCGTCGAGCCAGTGACGCTCACTGTGAGCCACCCCATCGAGCGTGAGATTACCGATTTCCGCATCCTCACCGGTACCACTGCGGCTGTGGAGTCGGTGGATATCCAGGCCCGGGTGACCGGCTACCTGGTGAAGCTTCCTTTCAAGGAAGGGGATGAGGTCCACGCTGGCGAGTTGCTGGCCGAGATCGACCCAAGGCCTTATGAAGCAAAACTGGAGGCTGCCGAGGGCCAAGTGGCCGTGGCCGAAGCACAGCGAGAGTTGGCCCAGAAAGAAGACGATCGTTCGAAGGCAATCAAGGCCCAAAACGCGGGAGCCGTTAGTCAGCAGGAACTGGACATTCGCGAGGCCAAATTAGAAGAAGCCATCGCTTCGGTCAAAGCGGCCAAGGCCAACATGGCCGAGTACGAACTCGATTTGGAATTTACCAAGGTCTATTCCCCCATCGACGGCCGCGTAAGTCGCTACTACCTGACGGTGGGTAATCTCGTTACACAAAACGAAACGTTGCTCACGACGGTCGTTTCTCAAGATCCAATCTATGTTTATTTCGACATCGATGAGCAGACGATGTTGCAGGTTCTGCGGTCGATGTACTCCGGCGATACCCCTCCGGCTCGATCGCGAAAGCTGACCGTCTATGCGGCCCTGCAAGGCGAGACCGACTTCCCGCACAAGGGCGATATCGACTTTGCCAACAACGAAGTCGATTCGTCGACGGGCACGATCGTCGTGCGTGGAGTTTTCGATAACCCGGCCAATCATGCGGGCGTACGAATGTTGCTGCCGGGAATGTTCGTTCGTGTGAAGCTCCCGATCGGCAAGCCGCACAACGTTCCTTTGGTTGCAGAGAAAGCGATCATCAACGACCAGGGGCAGACGTTTGTCTACACGGTTGATGACCAAGGTGTGGCGCAATACCGACGAGTTGAAATTGGCCGCATGACCAAAGATGGGCTGTGGTCGGTCACTGCAGGTTTGTCCGTTTCAGATCGCGTTGTGGTCAGCGGGACCCAGTTCGCACAGTCGGGGGACAAGTTCAAAGTGAACGAGGTCCCCATGCCTACTTCAGAGTCGGGAAGTGGCTCCGGCGGGGCCGCCGCTCCCGCAGATGCGTCACCTTCTTCCGACGATACGGATTCGAGTTCCAGCCAACCCCCACGTTGATTCGAACGAACGCCAGGAGCGAAGGGCGCTTGGCGAGCACAACCTTGGTTCTCATGGCGCAAGAAACCGGTGATCTCTCGTTACTTTATCAACCGACCTGTGTTTGCGTCGGTCATTTCGATTCTGATCACGCTCGCCGGGGGACTCGCTGTCTTCACCCTTCCGATCTCGCTGTACCCCGAGATCACTCCGCCCACGATTCAGGTTATCTGCACCTACCCCGGCTCGAATGCTGAGATTCTGGCCGAGACCGTTGCGGCGCCCATCGAGCAGCAAGTCAACGGTGTCGAAGACATGCTCTACATGTCTTCGCAAGCCGCCGACGATGGCACCTACATGCTCACGGTCACGTTTGCCTTGGGCACCGATATCGATCAGGCCATGGTGCTGGTGCAGAACCGAGTCTCGCTGGCGATGCCTCAGTTGCCAGAGATCGTGCAGCAGCAGGGGGTGAACGTAAAGAAGAAGTCGCCCGACATCCTGTTGGTGGTGAACCTGTATTCACCCGACGGGCGATACGACGACTTGTACATGAGCAACTACGCCACACTCCACGTGCAAGATCCACTGGCACGGTTGGACGGTGTTGGTGATATCACCTTCTTTGGCGAGCGAGACTACAGCCTGCGTGTTTGGCTCGACCCCGAGGAGCTGGCCTATCGTGAGATGACTCCCAGCGATGTCATTCAAGCCCTCAGGGAGCAGAATCTCTCGGCCGTGTTGGGGCAGGTAGGCCAGGCACCTACGGACCAAAGTCAGCAAATTCAGTTGACCATGAGCGCCCTGGGAAGGCTCTCAACCGTCGAGGAATTCGGCGAGATCATTGTTAAGACCGACGATTCCGATCAGGATCGCTTCGGGCCGACTCCACGAGTAGTTCATCTAAAAGATGTTGCCCGGGTTGAAATGGGCGCGAAGACCGAAGTCATGTCTTCCACGATGGACGGTATGCCCAGCGTTGGCCTGGCGTTGTTTCAATTGCCGGGGGCGAACGCGCTGCAGGTTGGCAATGAGATTCGCGCGAAGATGGAGGAACTGAAGGCCGACTTTCCCGCGGGTCTCGACTATGCCATCGTTTACGACACCACGCCCTTCACTGAAGAATCCATCCGCGACGTTTTCCAGTCGATGGGCGAGGCCATTGTGCTGGTGGCCGCCGTTGTGTTGCTGTTCCTGCAGAACTGGCGAGCCACGATCATTCCGTTGATCGCCATCCCGGTGGCCATCGTGGGCACCTTCGCCGTGATGGCCGTAATTGGCTTCTCACTAAACATGCTCTCGTTGTTTGGCCTGGTGCTGGCCGTAGGCATCGTGGTCGATGACGCGATTGTCGTGGTCGAGAATGTTCAGCGATGGCTGGAACAAGGCCACAGCCCCAAAGAGGCAGCCTGCTTGGCCATGGACGAAGTGACCGGACCGATCGTGGCGGTCGCTTTAGTGCTTTCGGCCGTGTTCGTGCCGTGTGCGTTCATCCGCGGCATCACAGGCGAGTTCTTCCGGCAGTTTGCCGTAACGATTGCCGTCTCCACGCTCTTCTCGGCTTTCAACTCGCTGACGCTCAGCCCCATGCTTGCTTCGCGGTTGCTCAGGGCAGGGGACGCCAAAAAAGATCTGATCTCCCGAATCTTCGATTTCTTTGTCGGGTGGTTCTTCCGTTTGTTCAATCGGGCTTTCACTGCCACGTCGAACTTCTACGCTCGCATGGTCACCAGAATCGTCCGCATGAGCGGGTTCGTGTTGATCTTTTACGCTGGGCTGCTGGCCCTCACCGCCTGGTCGAACCACAAAGCCCCCAAGGGCTTCATTCCGCTGCAGGATAAGGGTTACCTGCTGGTGAACGTTCAGTTGCCGCCGGGGTCTTCGCTTCCCCGTACGACCGAAGTGCTGAGTACCTTGGACGAGCAGTTCCGGCAAGTGCCCGGGGTGGCCCATAGTATCACCATCGCGGGTCGTTCGATTCTGGTGAATGCCAACAGTTCGCACTACGGCACGATGTTCCTCATCCTCGAGCCCTTCAGCGAGCGGAAGACACTGGCCAAGAATGGTCTGGTCATGCTGATGAAGCTGCGGAACGAGTATCCCGGCAAGTTGAATTCGGCCGTGGTCGAAGTATTGCCACCTCCCCCGGTTAGTGGCCTGGGAGTCGCGGGGGGCTTCGAGTTCATGCTCGAGAACCGGGGTAACCTCCCTCAGCAAGAACTGCAGACCATCACTCAGAACGTCATCGACACGGCGATGAAGCAGTCGAACATTTCTGATGCCTTCACGCTGCGTGAGTCTAAATACCCCTCGACCTATCTGGATATCGACCGCACCCATGCCCGGGCGATGGGCGTGCCGGTGGAAGAAGTCTCCGACACCCTGCAGGCCACCACGGGTTCGGTGTACGTCAACGACTTCAATCGTTTCGGTCGCACGTGGCAAGTGAATGTTCAGGCCGATGCCCAATTTCGCAGCCAGGCGGACAACATTAACCAGTATTACGTGCGTGGAACTACCTCGGGCATGGCCCCGCTAGCCGCAATGTTGCATTCTGAAACGGTCACGGGTCCGCCGATCGTGTTTCGCTACAACCTCTACGAGGCAGCTCCCGTCATGGGGCGGGCCCAGGCAGGCACAAGCTCAGGTGCGGCTCTGGCGACAATTGATGATGTCAATAAAAGTGTGCTGCCGAGCACGATGCAAAGTGAATGGACCGGCCTGAGCTATTTGCAAGTTGAGGCTGGGAACACGGCGATGTATGTGTTCGGAATGTCGGTGATTTTTGTATTTCTCGTTTTGGCAGCGCTTTACGAAAGCTGGTCGCTGCCGTTGGCCATCATCCTGGTTGTTCCTCTCGGCCTACTGTTCGCCATCCTGGGCGTGTGGGCATTCCCGTTTATGAGCATCGATATCTTCACCCAGATCGGGTTTGTGGTTTTAGTCGGGCTGGGTTGTAAAAACGCGGTACTGATCGTCGAATTCGCCCACCAACTGCAGAGTAAAGGCACGGGACTGTTTGAGGCCACCATCGAGGCTTCTCGCTTGCGCTTGCGACCCATCGTAATGACCTCGTGTGCGTTCCTGCTTGGGGTGGTGCCCCTCATTATCGCCACGGGAGCCGGCGCCGAAATGCGACGGGCCTTGGGCGTCGCGATGTTCTGTGGCATGCTGGGCGTGTCGATCTTTGGCGTGTTTCTCACGCCGGTGTTTTATTACGTCATCCGTTGGTGCAGTAGCACGCGTTTCTTCTCGAATCTAATGGTGCAGGGCACGGGCACCATCTTGATCGGGCTCACCATGGGAGCCACCTTCGGTTTTCTGCTGGGGAGAACGCAATCGATTTCCTTCTGGTGGGCAATGCTCTCCGGCCTGACCGCTGGGCTACTTTCCAGTGGCGTGGTGCTTGGACGACGCCGACTCCGTCGCTACAAGGCCGCGCAAGATCCGGTTACCCCAGACATCAATGAGGAGCCGGCCTAATGTCTCGATTCTTTATCGACCGCCCGATTTTCGCGGCAGTGCTTTCGATCGTGATCACCCTCACGGGCGCGATCGCCGTATTCCAATTGCCGGTTGCGCAATACCCGAACATCACGCCGCCAACCGTGGTGGTCTCTGCCAGCTACCCGGGGGCGAATGCCGACGTAGTTCGCGATACCGTGGCCAGCGCCATCGAAGAGCAGGTCAACGGAGTCGAGAACATGCTGTACATGTCCTCGGTATGCACCAACGACGGGAGCTATCAGCTAACAGTAACGTTTTCGCTCGGCTCCGACGTGAAAATGAACCAGATCCTCGTGCAGGATCGGGTTTCGCTGGCCTTGCCGACGATTCCCTCGATCGTGCAAGAGCAGGGCATCAGCGTCAAAAAGAAATCGCCCAATACACTGATGATCATCAACCTGATGTCGACTCGTGATAAGGCGACCGGCCAGTTGATGCGAGACAACTTGTACCTCAGCAATTACGCCACGCTGCAAATTAAGGACGAGCTTGCCCGGCTGGATGGGGTGGGCGATGTGACTTACATGGGGCAACGCGACTACAGCATGCGGGTCTGGCTCGACCCGGTGAAGCTCGCATCCCTAGGGCTAACGGCCCAGGACGTCGTGCAGTCGATTGAAGATCAGAACGCCCAGGTCACCGCCGGGCAACTCGGCCAACCGCCTGCTCCCGCGGGACAGCAGCTTCAACTCACCATCACCACGCTTGGTCGCTTAACCACGGTGGAAGAGTTCGAGCAGATCATCGTCAAGTCGAACGTCGGCGGAACTGGGAATTCGCCCACGCCCAGGCAGAATACCATCTCGATCAAGAACACACGTTCCTCTGAGTACGACCCGTCACAACCGCAACGAGTCCAGGCTGGCGGCAATCCTGCCTCCGGGATTATCCGCATGCGGGATGTGGCCCGGGTGGAACTGGGGGCTCAGCAGTACGGCCAGGCTTGTACTCTCAATGGCGAGCCATCGGTGGCTCTCTCGATCTTTCAGCTTCCAGGCTCCAACGCCATCGCCACGGCCAAAAACGTCTATGCCAAAATGGAGGAACTCGCCGAGCGTTTCCCTCCCGGTGTGGAATACAAGATTGCATACGACACGACACCGTTCATTCAGGAGTCGATTCGTGAGGTGTTCAAGACACTCCGTGATGCGATGATCTTGGTTGGCATCGTTGTCCTGGTCTTCCTCCAGAACTGGCGGGCAACGTTGATTCCACTGATTGCGGTACCCGTGGCAGTGGTGGGTACGTTTGCAGCAATGGCCGCTCTGGGGTTCAGCTTGAACAACCTCTCCCTGTTCGGACTCGTGCTTGCCATAGGTATCGTGGTCGATGATGCGATCGTGGTGGTCGAAAACGTCGAGCGCTGGTTGGAACGCGGCGAAGATCCACGCACAGCTGCTATCAAGGCCATGGACGAAGTTTCCGGCCCAGTGGTGGCCGTGGCGCTTGTGCTTTCGGCCGTATTTCTGCCGTGTGCCTTCATCACCGGGATTACCGGGCAGTTCTTCCGCCAGTTCGGTGTCACAATTGCAGTATCGACTCTCATCTCGGCCTTCAACTCCCTCACGCTCAGCCCTGCACTTGCGGCACTGCTGCTGAAGCCCAAGGGGGCCAAGCCGGACATCTTCACGCGATTGCTCGATGGGCTCTTGGGGTGGTTCTTCAAACTGTTCAATACGGGATTCGAACGCAGCACGACCGGGTATGTATCCGTGACCGGCCGGCTATTGCGGGCGAGCGTGATTGTGTTGGTGCTTTATGGAGGGTTGCTGTACCTCACCTACGACAGCTTCCAACGCGCCCCTACTGGCTTCGTCCCGCAGCAGGACAAAGGTTACCTGCTAGTGAACGTGCAACTGCCCGATGCGGCATCGCTGGAACGTACCCAAGATGTGATGCAAGAAATCGATGCCATTGCCCTCAAGACCGAGGGGGTGAGTAGCACCGTTGGGATCTCCGGCGCTTCGATTCTGCTCAACACGGATGCCCCCAACATCGGATCACTCTATGTGATGCTCGACCCGTTCAGCGAACGCGAGTCTGACTCTCTTTCGGCCGATGCGATTGGTGCGACCATTCGTAACGCATGCCTGCGTCAAATCAGTGGTGGCAAGGTTGGCGTGTTCGGGGCACCACCCGTCGACGGGCTAGGGACCACGGGTGGGTTTACGATGATGATCGAAGCCCGCGATTTCCAAAGTCACGATGCGTTGGTCGCTGCGACGGATGAGATCATTCGCCAGGGTAACGAAACCGAAGGTCTAACGGGGCTGTTCACCGGATCGCGGGCCGCCACACCATGGTTGCGACTGGATCTGGACCGCGATAAGTGCGAGCAGCTTGGCGTCAGTGTTGGCGATGTCTTCGCCACCCTGCAATACAACTTTGGGTCGTACTATGTGAATGACTTCAATGAGTTCGGCCGCTCGTGGCAGGTGAACGTGATGGCGGAACAGGAGTTCCGTAGCCGCATCGACGACTTGGCCTTGGTGAAAGTGAAGAACCGGCAAGGTGGCATGGTCCCGCTTTCCACGTTGATCAGCGTTCATGCCGCAACCGGGCCGGCCATGATCCAACGCTACAACACCTACCCATCGACCACAATTTATGGCGATTTCGCCCACGATACGGGCTCCGGCCAAGGCATTGTGATTATGGAGGATGTCGTCAAGCAATCGTTGCCGGCGAGGATGAAGTCGGAGTGGACCGAAATGATCTACATGCAACTCGCGGCGGGGAACACGGCCATGTACGTATTCGCACTGGCGGTAGTATTCGTCTTTCTCGTTCTGGCCGCCCTCTATGAGAGTTGGTCGCTACCCTTGGCAGTGATTCTTGTGGTGCCGATGTGCCTGTTGAGTTCGATCGCGGGCGTGGCCAGCCAGAGCCTCGACGTGAACATCTTCACGCAAATCGGGTTTGTGGTATTGGTGGGCCTGGCAAGTAAGAACGCGATTTTGATCGTCGAGTTCGCCCGTCAGCAGCAAGTCGCAGGGATGTCGGTTCGCGAGGCCACTCTCGACGCCTGTCGTCTGCGGCTTCGTCCGATTTTGATGACATCTTTCGCGTTCATACTCGGCGTCGTTCCCCTGGTCGTCGCCACGGGGGCCGGAGCCGAGATGCGTTACATGCTGGGCACGGCAGTCTTCTACGGAATGCTGGGCGTTACCTTGTTCGGCATTTTCCTGACGCCTGTATTCTATTTCGTCATCATGTCCATTCCCCGTCGGTCACAAGCGGCAGTGCCAACCGAGGCCGATCGTGCCGAAGATACTTGATTCTCCATCTTAACCATGAGAATCGTCACGGTTGTTGCGGGAGTTCCTGTCCTTCGAAATGGCGATCTGGCGACGGGAAGCTAGAATTGTCGACGCTGAATGAATCAGCCATAGACATTATTCCGAAGAATCGACAAGATTCGTAGGACCATTTGCCTAAGAGGAGAAGTTCCTTGTCGCGATATCTCCCGTTAGCAATAGCAGCCGTCTCGATCGTCTTGTTCTTGTGGTTGGGCGTTGCTTACCACTGGGGCTGGTATTTTGTGGCCGCCTTCGGAGTGTTCGTGCTCGCGGTGGGCGTGGTCGACTTGGTGCAGCCGGTTCATAGTGTTCTACGCAATTACCCCGTGATGGGGCACTTTCGCTGGTTTGCCGAGGGCATCCGCCCTGAGATGCAACAGTATTTCGTCGAACGTGATACCGATGGCGAGCCCTTCAATCGCGATGCACGCTCATTGATCTACGAACGTGCCAAAGACACCCACGGCGAAAAGGCTTTCGGTACCGAGTGCGATACTTACCTGCAAGGGTACGAATGGTTCACCCATTCGATCGCCCCCAAACGTGCTCGGGGAACTACGGAAGAAACCCAAAGCGATGCCCGCCATGGCCGCTCGCCCACAGTTCATGACGACCACGTCGAGAAACATCTGCAAGACTTCCAGCCGCGTGTGAAGGTGGGAGGACCCCAGTGCAGCCAACCTTACGAGATGTCGCTGTTTAACGTCTCGGCCATGAGCTTCGGGGCGTTGAGCTGCAATGCCATTCGCGCTCTGAACACCGGGGCCAAGAAAGGTGGATTTGCCCACGACACCGGAGAGGGTGGTCTCACGAAGTATCACCTCGAGCCGGGCGGCGATCTGATTTGGGAGATCGGCTCTGGCTACTTCGGTTGTCGCACGCCCGACGGGCATTTCGACCTGGAGAAGTTCACCCCCAAGTCGCAGCACGAGAATGTGAAATGCATCTCCATCAAACTCTCCCAAGGCGCCAAGCCCGGTCTCGGTGGCGTGATGCCGGCCGAGAAGGTGACGGCCGAAATCGCCGAAATCCGGGGAGTACCCGAAGGGAAAAAGTGCATCTCACCCCCGTATCACTCGGCCTTTCACACCCCGCGGGAGTTGTTGGAGTTCGTTAAGACACTGCGCGATGCCTCCGGAGGCAAGCCAACCGGCTTTAAGCTGTGCGTAGGCCGTAAGAGCGATTTCTTGGGCATCTGCAAAGCCATGCTCGAGACCGGCATTCAGCCCGACTTCATCATCGTCGATGGTGGCGAAGGTGGTACCGGGGCGGCTCCGCTGGAGTTCGAAGACCACGTCGGCACCCCGCTCACCGAGGGCCTGATCTTCGTCCATAATTCACTCATCGGTTGTGGGCTTCGCGAAGAAATCAAAATCGGTTGCAGCGGCAAAGTCACCAGCTCTTTCGAAATGGCCCGGCGAATTGCCCAGGGGGCCGACTACTGCAACGCAGCCCGCGGGATGATGTTCGCCCTGGGTTGCATTCAGGCGATGCGTTGTCACACCAATCGCTGCCCAGTGGGGGTCGCCACACAAGACCCCAGCCGCTATCGAGCGCTGGTTGTGCCCACCAAAGCAGACCGTGTGTTCCACTACCACCGAAACACAATCCTGAGCTTCAACCAACTCATCGCCTCGCTCGGACTCGACGGACCGGAGGAGCTTTCATCGCGATTGCTGATGCGACGCGTCAACCCGACCAAGGTGATGTCGTATGAGCAGCTTTACCCAACTTTGAAGAAAGGTGCGTTGCTCGAAGACGATATCCCCGAGGATTGGGTCGAAGACTGGAATCAAGCGGCGCCCCACATGTTCAACTAGGCAACGGCCCGTTGCTCATTTGCCGGTTGAGATTGCCATCTCTTTCAGCTTGGCCAGACTGAATCCCCAGGCCTGCGCGATTTCGATCTTGGGCGGCATCGTCAATTCTTCGCCGTTGCACACCACGTCGACCAGGAAGGGCCCCGGGGTGCTGAACGCCTCTTTGATGGCGCCTTGAAGTTTCCCCGGCTCGGTAACACGAATCCCCCCGCCACCGCAGACCTTGGCGATGGCCGCGAAATCGGGGTTTTTCAAGTCGGTGCCGTACTCTGGATAGCCGGCCACTTCCATTTCCATTTTCACCAGGCCCAGCTTGCCATTATTGAAGACGATCACCTTGATCGGCAGATCGAAGTTCACCGCGGTGATGAAGTCACCCATCAACATGCTAAAGCCGCCATCGCCCGAGAAGGCGATCACTTGCCGCTTCCGGTCGAGCGCCTGAACGCCCAACGCTCCCGGCATGGCGAACGCCATGGAGGCCAGATTGAACGACATGAGATAACGCTGGGTGCCGCGAAGTTTCATATGTCTCGCTCCCCATACCGTTACCTCACCGGTATCGACGCAGAACACGGCGTCGTCGTCGGCCAGCTCTCCAGCGATGCCCGCGATGGCTTGGGGGTGGATCAGGTCGGAGCTTCGTTTGACATCGGCTTCCTCATCCAACGACTTCTGCCATGACTCTCTTCGCTTTTGGATTTCCTTGAGGAAACTGCTGTCGCTCCGTTTGTCGACATGCTCAGTCAGTGCCGCCAGGGTGGAGCCCGCATGACCGACCAGTCCGGCCTGTACGGGACAACGCTTTCCGATGTGCTCGGGCCGGATATCGATCTGCACCACTTTCTTGTCGTGCGGGAGCCAGGCGCGGTAGGGGAAGTCGGTTCCGACCATCAGCAGCACATCGCTCTCTTCGATGGCGTGATGGCCTGCTTTCGAGCCCAACAGCCCGGTTCCGCCGACCCAGTAGGGATGATCGTGCGGAACCAGGTCTTTTCCCCGCAAGGCATGCACGATGGGCGCTTGCAGTTTTTCGGCGATGGCCAGCAGTTCTTCGGTCGAGTCGCGACATCCGCAGCCACACATGATGGCCACTTTCTTCGCGTCGTTGAGGATCTTCGCCACCTTCTGCAGATCTTTGGCCCCGGGTGTTACCTCCGCAATCGGCTGGATCGCGGTGGAAAGTTCGCCCGGGTTCTCGACCTTCGCAGGCCCTAAGTCCGAAGGGATCGAAATGTGGGCCACGCCACGGCGTGAAATCGCGGTGCTCACGGCTTGTTGAATCAATCGCGGCATCTGCCCCACGCTGTTCAGAGTTTCGTTGAAAATTGAAACATCGCTAAACAGAGCGTCGAGGTTAACTTCCTGGTGATAGTCGCTGCCCACATCGTCGCGCGGCACCTGACCCGTAATGGCCAGCACGGGCGCCGAATCTTTCTTGGCGTCGTAAAGGCCATTAAGAAGGTGAATTGCTCCCGGGCCAACCGTGCCGGCACACACGCCTAGGGTGCCCGTCAGCTTGGCCTGCGCACTTGCGGCGAACGCAGCCACTTCTTCGTGGCGAACGTGAATCCATTCAAATCGGTCATCACGGCGGATGGCATCCACCAACGGATTGATTGCGTCTCCAACCACTCCGAACAACTGGTGTACGCCGGCCTCGGCCAGTACGTCCAAAATCGTTTCGCACACGTTCTTCTTTGACATGACTGGTGACCTCTATCATCCGTGGGTGCGTGAAGAGTTCATGCTCGTGGCAGTCAGCTAACCGCCTCTAGCCAGAGACCTTACTAACCAGCACAACGACTGGCAATGTCCAGATTTCCAGGTCTTCACGATAGGTGTTCGTGAATCCAGCATCTTCCAACAATTGCGCCGCCGGAATTGGCTGGCAGTCGACTGCGTGGGGGAAGTGCTGGTGCATCCATTTGTATGTCTTTTCCAGGAGGCTGTCTTTTTGCCCCTCCGGCGTTACCGACATCGAGACCACTCCCAGACGTCCCTCTGGACGAAGCACCCGTTTTACTTCTTCTAGAACGCCCGGAATCTCGTCGAGCGGAAACAATTCCAGCGTGAAACTCATCGTGATTACGTCGAAAGAGTTGTCGGGCCATGGAATCGGGGGCACGACTCCCACTCGGAGATCGACTTGATCGGCAAAGCCTTCCTCCTTGAGGCGATTTAGTGCCGCTTCTTGCATTCCGGTGGAGATATCTATGCCGCAAACCTTGCCTTCGGTACCAGTGAGACGGGCGAGTTCGACTAGAGAGTGTCCCGTGCCGTATCCAATCTCTAATACCTCTTCGCCCGACTGGACTGCCAGGGCGGCAAGCCCTTTCTCTCGGGCGACATGCTCATCCCTGTCTGCGAGCATGTCGTAGGCAGAGCTAATTCGATCGTAGAAGCGACGGGTCGACTCAGTATCACTCTTTTGCATAGTAAACAGTCCACAGGCTTGTGGGGTCTTTTATCTGGAAGTTGGCAACTGTTCGATTACCGACCTTCAGGGCGATTCTTCATTGCGATAGGTGATTGCGGTGCCGGGTTGTTTTGTGGACCTGCGCAAGATCAACAGATTCGGCATGATTTTCTCAAGCGATTGCGGTACCATCATGACGTTCTTCGGGCGAAACCGGCAATGGATTGGTGTCGATCCGCGCAATTACTCCGTGTCATGGCCTGAGTATCGCCCTCTGGCGGCCTCGAAGCAACAGAATCTTCATAACCTATCGGAATGGAAGCCCCTGGAATGTCTAAGAACTATCTCTGGCAACTGGTTATTTTCGTCGTTGTCCTCATTCTGCTGAACTTCTTCTTTCACTTGCACATCTCGATCATCGGCAGCGTGGTGTTGACACTGCTTCTCAGCTTTGCGTTCAGTTTCGCAGGTCGACGTTAGCGCGAGCTCGCGTAAGCGAAGCATTGAAGAGCTTTGCTCAATTCATCCGCAGCTGATCGAACGAGCACCTCGACGGCCATCGTCTTTACGGTGCTCGTTGTTCATCTTGTCCCAGTCCATTTCAGGTTGACCGGAAGATTTGTGTTGACAGATGTTTGCTTAAGGGTGGACATTATTCTGAAATCTGCGACATTCTTGATGCAGAAAGAGTTACGGCTGGGACAAAGGACTTCCCTGAAAGAACCCGTGCAACGTGTTGAAGCACTCCGTAGCAAGATCGACTAAGCGTTCTGCGTGCTCGCCAGGTGCGAGTCTCGCGCGGCTCGTCTCTCGAACTCGATGGCTGCTCGTGTCGGTCACGAGCGCCTTGTGCTTAGGTCTTGGCCTCGTACAAGAGTGCCACGCCGCCATGCCGGAAATGTTTAACCCGGCGGGCTCAGCGGCCGAGTACATCCGCGACCTATTCATCCTTGTGATTGCCATCTGCTTCGTCATCTTCGTTGCAGTCGGCGGGGCGCTCGTCTATTTCATCGTTCGCTTTCGCGACCACAACGGCTCCGACAACACAGAACCGCCCCAAATTTACGGCAGTAAGCCCATCGAAGTGGCCTGGACGCTTGCCCCGGCACTTACCGTATTTGTGCTGGCGCTGGTGGTGGTTCGGTCGGTGTTCGACCTGCGAGGGCAAGAGCCAACCGCCAACGATCAACGGGTGCGTGTGGTTGGACACCAGTGGTGGTGGGAGTTTGAGTATCCCGAGCACGGGGTGATTACTGCCAACGAAATGGTGATTCCTGCCAGCGACGAGGAACTCGACCGAAAGGTCTTCCTTCAACTCGAATCGGCGGACGTGATCCACAGCTTCTGGATGCCCAAACTCGCCGGGAAAACCGATCTCGTGCCGGGCCGAACTAACCACATGTGGATCGAGGCCAACATGGTCTCACCTTATTTTGGCCGTTGTGCTGAGTATTGCGGAACCCAGCACGCGAACATGCTGTTGCGGGTGGACGCGGTGTCGCAAAAAGAATTTGATGCCTGGATTGCTGCCCAGAAAGAACCTGCCCGAGAAGTTGCCAGCGCGAAGCCAGGCAAAGAGCGATTCATGGCCCTGGCCTGCGCGAACTGCCATACCATCCGCGGCACACGTGCCAACGGCAAGTTTGGTCCGGACCTCACCCACTTGATGAGCCGCAAGACCATCGCCGCCGGGATGGTGGAAAACAACCGTGCCAACCTTGTCCGTTGGGTAGAAGACCCGGATGAGATCAAACTCGGCTGTCGCATGCCCGATATGCGACTCAGCGAAGCGGACGTGAAGCAAATCGTCGATTACCTCGTCACGCTGGAATAGCAATGACCACCGCCGAAACTACTCTCGCCCCACGCACGTCGCCGCTTGTATCGCTGCTGCACGGTTGGGTTACGACGGTCGATCACAAACGCATCGGCGTGATGTACTTGCTGATGAGTTTGTTGTTTCTGGTCCTTGGCGGACTCGAGGCGCTGCTGATTCGCCTGCAGCTTTGGAAGGCCGAAAACACGCTCATCGAGCCCGATACGTTCAATGAGCTGTTTACCATGCACGGGACGACGATGATTTTTTTCGTCGTCATGCCCATGATTGCAGGGTTTGCCAACATCTTGGTACCCCTGATGATCGGTTGCCGCGATGTGGCCTTTCCCCGGCTCAATGCCATGGGCTTCTGGCTGTCGCTGTTCGGGGGCACTTTGCTCTACATGAGTTACTTCACCGGCGAAGGGCTCTACGGAGCGGGTTCTGCTCCCGATGTTGGCTGGTTTGCCTACGCTCCATTGACCTCACCCGCGTACGCACGGGGTGGTAGCGTCGATTACTGGATTCTCGGCACTACGCTCACGGGTATCGGCACGTTGACCTTCGGGGTCAACCTTATTGCGACCATCATCGCCCTGCGTGCCCCCGGAATGCGGATGAGCAAAGTCCCGTTGTTCGTGTGGATGATGCTCATCGACGCCATCTTGATTATCTTTGCCTTCCCGCCACTTACGGCGGCCCAGTTCATGCTGTTGATCGATCGAAAACTGGGGGCCCATTTTTTCGACACGCAAGCCGGCGGATCGGCCATTCTGTGGCAGCACCTGTTCTGGTTCTTTGGCCACCCTGAGGTTTACATCATGGCCTTGCCGGCCTTCGGCATTATTTCTGAAGTGATCCCGGTGTTTTCCCGCAAGGTGATCTTCGGCTACACGTCGATGGCCATGGCAACCGCAGCGATTGGCTTCATCAGCATGGGCGTCTGGGCGCACCATATGTTTACCGTTGGTCTCAGCGACGGATTAGATGCGTTCTTCTCCGCGGCCAGCTTTCTCATCGCAGTTCCGACGGGCATCAAGATATTCAACTGGACCGCCACCTTATACGGCGGGAAACTGCAGCTACATACACCCATGCTGTTCGCATTGGGTTTTCTGTCGATGTTCCTCATCGGCGGGCTCACCGGCATCATGCTGGCCGCCGTACCCGTCGATTGGCAGGTTTCGGACAGTTACTTCCTCGTCGCTCATTTCCATTACGTCCTATTCGGCGGCAGCTTGTTTGCCCTTATGGCGGGTTTCTATTACTGGTTCCCCAAAGTCACCGGCCGAATGCTGGGCGATACCCTGGGCAAAATCCACTTCTGGCTGCTGTTCATCGGCTTCAACCTCCTGTTCGGCCCCATGCACATCTCCGGTGTGTTGGGCATGCCGCGACGTGTTTTCACTTACGAAGCTGGCAATGGGTGGGAAATCTGGAATCAGATTTCCACGGTCGGCGCGATCATCATGGGCGTTGGCTTCCTGGTGTTCTTCTGGAACCTGCTGGTTTCGCTGAAAAGCGGGAAGATCGCCGGCGACGACCCTTGGGATGCCTGGACGCTGGAGTGGGCCACCACCTCGCCGCCAGCCTCTTATAACTTCGAAGTGATTCCCGAAGTCCGCAGTCGTCGACCGCTCTGGGATTTGAAACACCCCGAAGACCCGGATTGGAAGTATGAGTGACGCAACCGTAAACGCCGTTCGGCCCGATCACGAAGGATCGATTGCTCCTGCGCACGTCGGAATGATGGCCTTCCTCTGCTCCGAGGCGGCCTTTTTCAGTACCTTGCTCGTGGCGTACTTCCTTTACATGGGCGAGAGCAGCATTGGACCCTTTCCAGGAGAAGTGCTCAGCCTTCCGTTGGCCGTATTGAACAGTATCTTCCTGATCAGTTCCAGCGGAACCATCTGGTTTGCTGTGCGTGCTCACACGCGTGATCAACGTGGTGCGTTCGCATTCTGGATGCTCATCACGATCGGTCTGGCCGTATTGTTTCTCTGCGGAACCGCCTACGAGTGGTACGGCTTGATATTTCACGACGGCTTGACGATTAGCCGTAACCTATTTGGCACAACGTTCTTCACCTTGATTGGATTTCACGCCGGCCACGTTACCGTGGGCATCATCACGATGAGTGTGTTGGTTTATCAGAGTAACCACAGTCGACTTCCTGCCGAGAACGATGCCCCAGAGCTAGTCTCTTGGTACTGGCATCTGGTGGATACGGTTTGGATCATCATTTTCCTCATGGTTTATTTGTTTGGCCGTTAGGCCTTTGTGGAGTCGAGCTTGTCAACTGAAGTGCAAGACGAACGACCGATTGCTGATCAAAGTATCAGCATGCCGAAGCCGACCTACTGGCCAATGACCTTGGCCGCTGGGGCCGCGTTGGTAGCCTTTGGGCTGCCGACGAGTTTGGCGGTTTCGGTTGCAGGCTTGGTGATTTTGATCATCTCGCTCGGGGGTTGGATCTCGGAATTGGCTCCCGGGGCCGGTGAGATTGAAGAGCCACTGGAGCCGCCAGAAAAACGGGCCAAGCCCGTCGTCGTGTCGAAACGCAAAGTTGCGGAAGCCGGTGTCGGAATGCCAGGACATCGAATGCACTTCCCAGAGAAGGTGCATCCTTATTCTGCCGGGGCCATTGGCGGGCTCTACGGTGGATGTGTCATGGCGGTTGTCGCATTACTGTTCGGCCTTATTAGTGGACGTGGGTTGTGGTACCCCATCAACCTGCTCTCGGCGATGATCTTACCGGAATACCACGAAGCGACTGTCGAAACGATTAGTCAGTTCAGCTTTGTCAGTTTGATCGTCGCCACGCTGATTCACTTCACTACATCGGTGCTGGTGGGTTTGTTTTTTGGAATTCTGCTTCCCACGCTGCCCAAGTCGCCAAGGTTTTGGGGGGGCGTGGTCGCCCCGCTGCTGTGGTCCGGGGCGATCTACGGATTTATGCACATTCTTAACCCCGTGATGAATCGCTACGTCGATTGGCCCTGGTTTGTCGCTTCGCAATTCGCCTACGGCTTGATCGTCGGAAACTATGTCGTCAAAACCGAGAAGGTGACTGCGAAGCGAATCGAAGGTGGGGCGAGCCCCGACTGGGCGAATCAGCCCCAGAGTGAGACGACAGGGGGCGATCGATGAAATTGCAGTGGCAATTTGCTTCGCCTCTCTTGATGTTGGCCGTAGCACTCACGACCGGTTGCGGTAAGCCAACTGAAGCAGAGCGATATGTACGGCCGGACCAAGTGACCAACTTCCAAGAGCTGTTCCAACAGAATTGCTCAGCTTGTCATGGGAAAGATGGCAATTTTGGTCCCGCACCGCCGCTCAACGACCCTCTTTTCCAGGCCATCGTCTCGGACGAACAACTGAACGAGGTCATCACCAACGGCCGGCCCAACACACCGATGCCGGCCTTCGGACAATCGAAAGACGGTCCTTTCACAGAAGAGCAAGTGAAAATCGTCGTGAAGGGAATTCGAGAACTCTGGGCCAAACCTGTGGACGAAAAGCCGGAAAATCTGCCTGCGTACCAGGTCAGTGCGGATGATCCCGGTGGTCTTACCAAAGGTGACGCTGAACGCGGCAAGACGTTGTTTGCAACGGTCTGTGCCGACTGCCACGGCGAAGGAGGGCAGGGCGGTGAGGCGGGAGCCTTAAATAGCCACGCGTTCGGTGAGTTGGCCAGCACCCAATTCATTCGCCGCATTATCATCACGGGCCGCCCCGACTTGAAGATGCCGAATTTCATGGAGATGGGCCGGAAGTCTTCTTTAGACCGCCCGCTGACCTCGCAAGAAATCGTCGATCTGACAGCATTCATTCGCTCGATCGATCCGCTTGCCATCAGTATTCCAGCCCCCGAACAAACCGCGTACACCCCGAGTCCTGAACATGAGTGAACACGACTCCCCCCGGATGTCGTCCGAGCCTTCCGCCGCCCGGCGTGGACTATTAAAGTGGGCCACGATTGCGTTGAGCGCCCTGGCGGCCTCGGCCACGGGGATTCCGATCATCGGTTTTCTGCTCAGCCCGCTGCGTCGCGAGAGCGACAAATGGGTCGATGCCGGTCCTGTCGACAAGTTCCCACAGGGTGAAACCCAGTTAGTCGACGTGCTCAACCCATTGGGCCGCGCAACCGATGGTGTGACCGAAAAACTGGCCGTCTATGTGCGACACGTTACCGATGGAAGCTTTCAAACGTTCGCCGTGAACTGCACGCACTTGGGATGCCCCGTGAACTGGTTCCCGCAAGCGGGGCTGTTTATGTGTCCTTGTCACGGCGGTGTTTACTACGAAAACGGTGCCCATGCTTCGGGCCCTCCACCACGAGGGCTCTATCAATACGAGCACAAAGTCGAAAACGGCAGACTCATGGTTAAGGTTGGACACATGCCGACCTTGCAGCAACCTGCCTAACAAGGAGCGGAGAATCCATCGCAGTTGCGAATCGGAATAAACCAGAAATGAAGTACCTGAAAAACACCATTGCCTGGTTTGAGCACCGCCTGGAGTTGAAAGACTCCATTTGGCCGGTGATGCGGCATCCCGTTCCCGCTTCGGTCGCTACCAGTAAGGGCTGGTGGTACGTCTTCGGTAGCATGACGATGACGTTCTTCATGCTGCAAGTGGTCACGGGCATTTGCCTTGCGATGGTTTACGAGCCAACCGCTGAGGGAGCATACGACAGCCTGCTCTACCTCAACTACGGAGTTCCGTTCGGCTGGGTGCTTCGAGCGATTCACAACTGGTCGGCCACAGGCATGGTAGTGATGATGCTCATCCATATGGCCCAGGTATTTCTTATGGGGGCATTCAAATACCCTCGCGAGCTAACCTGGATTGCCGGCGTGGGACTGTTCCTGCTGACTATGTCGCTGGCTTTCTCCGGACAGGTTTTGCGGTTCGATGCCTCGTCCTACTGGGGCGTCGGGGTACTGACCGCTGCTGCAGGGCGAGTGCCCTGGGCCGGGCCATCCATCGTTCACTTAATGTTGGGCGGTGAGTTCATCGGCGGTGATACGGTATCTCGCTTCTTCGCGTTGCATGTCTTTGTCTTTCCGGCATTGCTCATTGCCGTGCTGAGCGTGCATCTTTATCTGGTCGTAAAACGAGGCATCTCCGAACCGCCAGAGCCCGGGGTTCCGGTGGATCCTGCTACGTACGACAAGAAGTACCACGAAATGCTCAAGGGCGGGGTTCCGTTCATCCCGCATGCCCTTTATCGCGATGGGATTGCTTGTGCCCTCGCCGTGCTGGTGGTGGTGATCGTTTCCCTTGTCGTGGGTCCCAAGGGACCAGGAGAAATACCCGATCCCACGTTGATTCATGCCAACCCTCGACCCGACTGGTACTTCCTTTGGGTCTTCGCCATGGCGGCGCTTTCGCCCCCACAAATGGAAGCATTCTTGATGTTGGGCATGCCCGTGCTGGGCATCCTGGCGCTCATTGCCGTTCCGTTTGTCGCGGGCCGAGGAGAACGCAGTGCAAAGCGACGCCCTGTGGCGGTTCTGTTCGTTACCGTCGCATTCGTTTTGTTCACAATTTTGGGCTGGTACGGGTACACATCGCCCTGGTCGCCAGAAATGTTCGCCTGGAGCGGCGAGCCCGTGCCCAAGCGCATCGTCCAGAAGTTGACCCCGCTCGAACTGCAAGGGGCAACCGTCTTTCAGCTCAAATGTTGCCGCAATTGCCATGCTTTAGACGGCATCGGCGGACAACGCGGGCCCGACTTGACCGATGTAGGAGTCCGACTCAACCCCGATGCACTCGTCCGCCAAGTAGTGCAGGGCGGGGGAAACATGCCCGCCTACGGTGAGAAGCTTAGCAGTGCAGAAGTCGACGCCCTGGTCGCTTTCCTGGTAAGCTTGCGTCCCGAAGGAGAGCCCCCGGCCCGGGTGCCTGCGGCACCGGCAATTGCGAGCGATTCGTTGTGACACGCGAAGATTTCGTCGCGCTGTTCAGTTCCTGGTCATTCAGCCCATTCGTCATGCTTGGGCTCGCGCTCGTGGCCTGTATTTACGGCCGCGGCTGGTATCGGTTTCGCAGCCGCGGGGCCACGAGACTCACGCCGTGGCATCTGGCTAGTTTCTACGGTGGACTTGTCGCAGTCTTTGTAGCACTGCAATCCCCGCTCGATGCATTCGGCCCGTTCTCGCTGCAAGTGCACATGGTGCAGCACCTGCTCCTGATGGTGGTTGCTGCTCCGCTGCTTGTGTATGGCTCTCCGACTTTGCCAATCATCGCAGGCTCCCCGGCGTGGTTTCGCGAGGGGTGGATTACGCCCTTTGCTCGTTGGCCGAAGTGTCGCTTCGCACTGGGGCGACTCTTTCATCCGGTGACCACGTGGTGCCTGTTCGTCTTCACCCTGTGGTTTTGGCACTGGCCGGCCATGTACGAGCTGGCTTTGAGGTCTACTACTTGGCACCAGTTGGAGCACGCCACCTTTCTGGCCAGTTCCGTCCTCTTCTGGTGGCCGGTACTGCAGCCTTATCCCACCCGCTACCGGTGGTCGCGATGGATTCTTGTGCCGTACATGGTGCTTGCAGGGATTCAGGGAACCATGCTCGCGGGAATCCTAACCTTCTCGAACCATGTTCTGTATGCCCACTACGCAACCGCGCCCAATATTTGGGGGCTTCCACCACTCACCGACCAGGCACTAGCCGGGGCAATCATGTGGGTGCCGACATCGATCCTCTACTTGGTGACGCTGGTGTGGATTGTCGGGCAGCAAATGACCGAAAGTTCGGCGAGTAGCCAGCATCGTCATCTCGCGAGAGGCACCAAGACGAGAGTCACTCGAAGGCCACAACCTTCTGGGGAAGGCATTGCTAAACACCCACAGCCTTCCCGGCGCAAGGCTGTCTTACTCGGCCCTCTGTTCAGTCAAGCTGGCGTACGAACCGGCTTACGCGTAACAATCCTGATCTTGGCTGCGATTGTCGTGGCCGACGGTTTGCGCGGCCCGCAGGTCTCCTCGATTAATCTGGCCGGAGTACTCCCCTGGGTGCACTGGCGTGGGGTACTGGTTCTCGCCTTGGTGTTAGGCGGCAACTTTTTCTGCATGGCGTGCCCTTTCACAACCCTGCGGGGATTTGCCCAGCGGATGTTCAGGCCTGTACGTCGTTGGCCAAGGTCTTTGCAGAACAAGTGGCTGGCGATCGCATTATTGATTGTATTCTTCTGGGCCTACGAAGCATTCTCCCTGTGGGATCGCCCCTTTTGGACGGCAATAATTGTCCTCGGCTTCTTCTGCGTTGCGTTCGCATTTCAGGCGATTTTCATCGACGCCCCGTTCTGCAAGTTCGTCTGCCCCATCGGGCAATTCAATTTTGTGCAGTCAATGGTCTCGCCAACGCAGGTTGCGGTTACAACTCCTGGAACATGTACCGATTGCAAAACTAAGGACTGTATCGTTGGGAACGATCACAGCCGCGGCTGTCAGACTGCATTGTTCCAACCACAGAAGGTCGGCAATCTCGACTGTACCTATTGCTTCGACTGCGTGGATGCCTGTCCTCACGACAACGTCGCCTTAGTTCAGGTGCAATCTCTCGCTGATATTGCTGCCGATCAACGCCGGTCGGGGATTGGTCGTTACTCCGAACGCCACGACCTAGCCGCACTGATCGTTCTTCTTTTCTTTGCTGCCCTGGTGAACGCCGCTTGGATGACTGGGCCCGTGATTGCCCTAGAAGATGCTGTCGTCGCTCGGTTCGGAATTGGTCGTATCCCTGTGTTGACCACCGGAATGCTCATTACTTTGATCGTAGTACCGCTGGCCATCGTGTGGGGCGTGGCCTATCTCAGTCGCCGTGGGGCGAATGATGAGGTACCCATCAAGCAGAACATTGCTTCTTACGCCCCGGCCCTTGTCCCGCTGGGCCTTGGTATGTGGCTTTCGCACTATTCGTTTCACCTGTTTACGACTGGCGATACCGTGATCGTGGCCGCCAGACGTGCGTTGGGCGATCTGTTTGGCACTGGGTACTCGGTGGCGCCCACGGTCTGCAACTGCTGCAGCCCCACGATGATTAGCTGGCTGCTTCCGTTGGAATTGATCTTCCTAGACATCGGATTGTGCGCCTCGCTGGTGGTCGCGTACCGCATCGCCCAACGGCTACACGACACGAACCCGGCCATTTACCGTTCGGTGGCGCCTTGGGCCATGCTCATGGTTTGCTTCTTTGCCCTTTGTGTTTGGGTCTTGCTGCAACCGATGCAGATGCGCGGTGCCTATATGGCGGGGATGTGAGATGCGAACCAATCGATTCATGAACATAAGTGCCTTGGCATTAATCTTGAGCCTTCTGGCAGATTCCACTCCCGCGTTGGCCGATGGTGGCAAGGTGCAGTTCAGCCAGATTATTGCTCCCTATCGTATTACTGTGTTTACCTCGCCCACACCCATGCAGGCAGGGCTGGTTGACGCCAGCGTTTTGGTGCAAGACGCTGAATCGGGCAGCGTCATCCACGACGCCGTGTTGGAGTTTAAGTGGAAGCACGAATCAACCGGCGTCGTGCTGCGCCACCGCGCTACCCATGCGCAGTCAACCAATAAAATGATGCAGTCCGCCAAGTTCGATCTCCCGATGTCAGGAGTCTGGGACGTTACGCTAGACATTCAAAAGCCAACACCGGCAAGCGTCAGTTTCAAGATGCTGGCCTATGAGGAAACGAACAATTCCTCGATGGTAACGTTCCTCGTGACCCTTCCGTTTGCTGCTATAGGCTTGTTTCTGCTGCGCGAACATATACGCGTTCCTCGCCGGTCTAATCGCGGCTAGCGGCAAGGTCGGGCCATCGGGCTCCGGCATTTCGCAGGGCTATGGAAACATGCGGCTCTGAAGAAGCGTCAGCCTTCGGCTCTTCAGCATTATCGCAACCGCATAGCCCTGCCCGAAACGGTCCAAACTCGTTAGGCTTTGGCAACTGCATTATTTATCTGCTGCTCGAGTAAAGGGATTCCCAATGGGTTGGGCCAGCATCCTGGTTGCGATTCATGTATTGATCGAGATCGCATTGATCTTTCGCGTGATATTACGGCCGCACCGGGAGCCGGCCTCGCGAATTGCCTGGATCGTTGTGATCGTCACGGTTCCAGTCGTCGGAATTGTGGCCTATCTGCTCTTCGGTGAAGTGAGCATCGGGCGGAAACGCATCGCCAGAATGCGGCAAGCCATCGAAAGTCAGCCTAAGTTTGCCGGCCCCGTCGCTGGAGAAGAGGAGAATTTCAAACCCTCCGTTCCTGAGGCCTGGGATCATCTGTTCCGAGTTGGCGAATCGATTAGCGGATTTCAGCCAGTGGGTGCTAACCAAGCAACTCTAATGGCAGATTCGAACACAATGGTCGAATCACTCATTTCCGACATCGATTCCGCAACCGACCACGTGCACCTGTTGTTCTACATCTGGCTGGCCGACAACAACGGCTGCAAGGTCGTCGAAGCGCTCAAACGCGCAGCCGCCCGAGGCGTGAAGTGTCGGGCCATGGCCGACGGGCTCGGTTCTCGATTAATGATCAAATCAGAACACTGGCGCTCGATGCAGGCAGCAGGAGTCCATGTGGCCGAGGCCCTACCAATTGGCAATGTCCTTCTACGGCCTTTCATGGGGCGTATCGATCTTCGCAATCACCGCAAGATCGTGGTGATCGATGGTAGGGTTACCTATTGCGGAAGCCAGAACTGTGCCGATCCCGAGTTTCGCGTTAAAGCGAAATACGCCCCTTGGGTCGACGCGGTAATGCGTTTTGAAGGACCCATCGTTCGGCAAAACCAGCACCTGTTCGCTAGCGATTGGATGACCTTCGTCGATGAAGATCTAACCGACCTGCTTCGTTCTCCCATCCCGGCACCTCAAGCGGGCTTTCCCGCTCAGGTGATTGGCACGGGGCCTACCGTACGCTACTCGGCGATGCCTGAGACGTTCGAGTCGCTCATGTATGCGGCCCGTCGTGAGTTGATTGTCACAACGCCTTACTATGTTCCGAACGAATCACTGCAGGAAGCATTATGCGCAACCGCTCGCCGTGGAATTGAAACCACGATCGTGTTTCCAGCTAACAACGATTCGTGGATCGTTGCTGCAGCGAGCCGGAGCTATTACTGGGACCTGTTAGATGCGGGCGTGAAGATTCATGAATACGTCGGGGGGCTGTTGCACACCAAGTCGCTGACCATCGATGGCGAGGTCACTCTGATTGGATCGGCCAACATGGATCGCCGTAGCTTCGATTTGAACTACGAAAACAATATCCTCTTTTGCGATCCCCGATTGACCGAAGCCATCCGCAACCGGCAGATGGAGTATCTGCAGAAGTCGACTCCTGTTACCCAGGAGCAGGTGGCGAATTGGCCAATCACACGGCGTTTCTGGAACAACGCCATCGCCATGTTGGGGCCCGTTCTCTAGGTTGCAGAACGCAACTTGCCAAGCGAACCACCTCGCTTTCGGGTTCTGGGAGCTGAGGCGAATCCCGCAATTCCGTTGCAAACCCTACCAGCGGTCGCTTTCACTCGGGTCGCGAAAGGGTTCTCAATGAGTGACGTGCAGAGCGGTCTTTCGGGGGGTCGATAACCTTCAGTGGCACGGACGATGCCGTTTTTTCCAGCACGGTTGCTGCTCCCCCCCAGTGAAGGCCTCACTGGACGATCTCGCATTCGGGTCGCACCGTGCCGTTTCTTCGAGCCAACCTTCTAGCAATCACGCTTGTCCTCACGGTCACGTGTTGTGTCGGTTGCAGCTCGTGCCCCACGTGGCAGGCGCCTTCAATTCCCGGCGTATCGCAAAGCACGGCCGCGGCGAACTCCGTTTATCTGGCGTCGAACCCCTGCGACCCCGCAGGCTACCGCAAAGCAATCGATGAGCGGATCGCTTGGTACGAAGCAACCGGCGACCCCAAGATTGCGCAGCAACTCTCCGAGACGTTCGTCGCGCTAGCCGTGGAGGCAGATCAGGCCAGGCACTCGAGTGTTGGCGGCTGGTACTATTTGGCTGCGGTCTATAGCTGGAAAACTCTCAGCGATGGCGCGACCAGCCCCGCCCTATGGAGTCGAGCTTCTCAAGTCTATTGCGAAAGTCTTGCGCGCGTAGTGACCATCGCCCAATACAACGGCTGCTACCAGCCCGGGCGGGCGATGCAAGTGGAGACTCCCTATGGCCCTGTTCAGATTCGACTGCACGCCCACGAGTTTCCTTGGCAGCCGAGCGACTTCCAGGAACTCTATCCCGTGGGTGAGTATGAGACGAGCGTCATCACACGTAAGCACCGCCGGCCAGGCTATGGATTGCCCATCGTTGTCCGACGTAGTCATCCGACGTGCGCTTATATCGAAGAAGCGAATCTGATCGACGGACTCTGCTTTGCAGCTACCGCAGTGTTGACCCCGAACGATGACGAATGCCCGGGCACTCCGGGGGGAATCCCGAGGAGTGCCACACTCAGTCTCTACAACCCACTAAACACGGCGTCAATTGAGGAGTGCGGAGAGTCGCTCCCCCTCGCAGCGGATGTCACGGCGCCGTTTGCTTACCACGCCATCAACCAGGGTGATTCCGATTTCTGGTTAACCTCGTTCCTCGATCCAGACGCCGCGGCGGATGATGGGTTGTTCCTAATCGAACCCTACCAGCCGGGGAAGATCCCTGTTGTGTTCATCCATGGGCTGCTTTCCAGCCCCGCCACATGGGTCGACCTGGCGAACGATCTCAGGGCCCACCCGGGTTTCAACGAGCACTATCAGATCTGGGCATTTCGTTATTCCACCGGTGGCCCTTTCCTCGAAGCTGGGGCTCAGCTTCGACGTGAAATGGGCCAACTTATATCCATGGTCGATCCCCAAGGCTGCGACGCTGCTCTGGAACAGATCGTCCTGCTAGGTCACAGCATGGGGGGGCTCGTAGCCCGGCTGCAAACCTTTGACAGTGGGTGTCAGCTTTGGAACGCAGTAGCGAACCGCCCCCTGGACCAGATTGTCACCGACGAGCAAACGCGGGCGCTCTTAGCCGAACAGTTCTTTTTCCAGGCCCAAACCTCGGTCAAACGGGTGGTCTACCTCGCCACGCCACATTTGGGCTCAGAGTGGGCGAACCGGCCGATCGGGCGGTTGGCCTCGGCGATGGTTCGTCCCAGGCCGGGTATCGAGAGACGCCATGAGCAACTGATCCGGGACAATCCCGGCGTTTTCTCCGGGGAACTGGAGCGGGGTATTCCGACCAGCATCGACATGCTCGACCCTCAGAGCCCGCTGCTGAGAACCATCCGATGCCAGCCAACCGCTTGTTGGATCGAGCTAGATTCGATCATCGGTACCAAGCACATTCCCGTGTTCGAAAAACCCGGTGACGGAATCGTGCCTATCAACAGTGCACTGTTTCCCGGCGTCGAAAGCCAACTCTTCGTCTACGCCAAACACACCGAGGTCCATCGTAACCAAGATTCTACCTCAGAAGTCTGGCGGATTCTCCAGCAACATCTGGGTGAAGTTTCTGTCGAATTGAGTGAGGGTTGCAATACAATGGCAGTCGGGCCGTAGGTTTCTTGAAAATGTGCCGGCCGGGGCGGGATTCAAACGCTGTGCCAGCGTCTATCATTTCTCGCTGTAGTGCCAGCAAGCCTCATTGGCTTCATCATTCAGCCTAAAACAAACCTGTTGTTTCAAATATGAATCAGAATAATCGAGATGCCGGCAGCCAATCGGAAAGCTCTGAGGGGCTGTGGGTTGCTGATATGACGCAGGAAGTCGTTCCACGAATCGTGGAAATGCACCTACAGGCGTTTGAAGGATATATGGGCGAGCGGATGGGGCCCATCTACATCAATGCTCAGTTTCGCTGGTTCCAGCAGAACCCTCAGGCGATTTCAATCGTGGTGAGAGACCATGCGGGAACCCCTCTGGGCTACGCGATAGGAGCTGAAACGAATTACTCTAAGGGAATGAATCGAGATCTACTTCCCTACGCATTTGTGGCCGTACTCACTCGGCCTAGGTTGCTGGTAGATAAGCAGATCGTTCGTACAGCCCTGAGCCGGCTCAAGCTCCTGATCAGAAAACAAGAAACCGAAGGAGAGAGCTTGAGCCTACCCGAACCAACCATGGCACTAGTCGGAATTGGTGTATCGCCTCAGGCTCATGGTCAGGGAATTGGCCAAAAGCTTCTTCGTGCGTTTGGCGATCGTTCCAAGGAATTGGGGGCCCAGTCGATGTTGCTCTCGGTTTACCCGGACAACCATGGAGCTCGAAAATTGTATGAAAAGTGCGGCTGGGAGCCGTGCCGCGAGCCCGAGAGAGAGGATACGACGATGTACTACGTGCAGAGATTTTAGGTTCTCGCTGAACAAAATAAGGGAAGTTGAAGATGCGTCACAGGATAGTTGAATTCCCCAATTTCAATAATGACGCTTTCGGCCATGCTGCGGAGTTCCGCAGGATCATGCGGAGACCCGCAGGTAACCGTCGTCCTATAAAGGAGTTAAACGGCAATATCCGAGCTGGCATTTGTGTCGGTTTAACGTCGGACTCTGACATTGTTCTACCTGGGCTGTAAAGCATTGAGGATTACACGTCTATCCCTGAAAAAGCGAAGTGCATAGGACTGGACTTAAACGGGATGAATCTACACCTGGGATACGTATGGCACCGGTCGAAAATGGAATTTTTTGTTGCTCCCGGCGCAAGCTGACGGTACTCTCAGTTCAGGGGCGATACTCCTACCTAGTGGCAGGCATCTTTTAGTGCCGGCATCTGATCGCGTACCCAGGAACAGCCGGCCGTCCGTGTTTCGCAACTTCCGGCGGAAACGACGGCTACCGGTGCAACTAATCACCCTTATGCGGAATGGTTGCGCCCCGATCGGTCGGGCCATAGCTGAAGCCACTCGGTGTGCGTCGCCTTGGCAGTTTTTGCAACAGTACAACGCGATGCCGACACTGATGCAGACGGGGTAGTGCCGTGGCGATAGATTGCAATCCAACCCTCGCACCACAGCTTGAAATCACCGATGAACCACCCATGGTTACGGTGATCATGCCGGTCTTCAATGAAGAGTTATTCATTGCTCGCAGCCTGGACCGGATTCTAGCCCAGAATTATCCAGAGGAACGACTCGAGATTCTGGTGGTCGATGGTCGCTCGAATGACAATACTCGAGCGATTGTCGAGTCGTATATCGAGCGAGACCCTCGTATCTCGCTTCTGGAGAACCCTGAGCGTCTCCGTGGGTGTGCCATCAACGTGGCAATCCCACATGCGAAGGGTGATGTCATTGTCCTCGTCGATGGGCACTGTGAAGTTTCCGAAGATTTTTTGCTAGAAGGGGTCAACCTTCTTCGCGACCATCCCGAAGCATGGTGCGTCGGTGGTCCGACCAAACACGTGGGTGAGACTACGTTTGCCCGCGCTGCCGCAGTAGCAATGTCTAACGTAGCGGGAGTCGGAACTGCGACTCACCGCTTTGAAAACTTCGAAGGCTATGCAGACGGCGTTCAGTTTCCTGCCGTTCGGCGCTGGGTATTTGACAGCGTTGGGATGTTCGACGAAAAGATGGTTCGAACAGAAGACGACGATTTTACGTTTCGTGTTCGTCAGGCTGGGGGAAAAGTATTTGTATCGCCCCGGATTCGGTACAGATACTTCGTTCGCGACTCTGTTCGAAAGCTGTGGCAGCAGTACTCACAGTATGGGTTCTGGCGGGTGCCCATGATCATTAAACACAAACGACCTACGACCGTCCGCCAGATGGTTCCGCTGATATTCGCTTTTCTGCTGATGGCTTTCTTTATCCTAGGGCTGGTGCTGGGGAAACCAGCGGTCGCAGTCGCGTTGCCGGCGTTATACCTCACGGCTCTATTGGCTGTCGCCTTTTGGTCGGCGTTCACCGTCGGGCTTAGGGCCGCCTTGTTCGTTCCCGTGGCCATTATGACCATGCACACAGCTTATGCCTTTGGAATGGCATGTGCGTGGGGTACGATACTGTTTCGCTCGGGCGTTTTCGATACCACCGGGTCGATGTCCCAGCAGAAGCGATAGCCACCAAGATTGGCCGAAGGGAATGCAACTCGATAATGGCGACCGCAGTCCTTCAGGCCGGTGGAAAGTCGGAGCGCATGCGGCGCACCGCGGGACCCGGTCATAAAGCCCTACGCGACGTGCTAGGAGTGTCGTTGTTGGAGCGGAATCTTTGTCGCTTCTTAGCCGCGGGTTTCGATTCTGTGGTTGTCGTCATCTCTGAATCTGAAACCGCTCTCGATGAGTACATCTCCAATCGCGGACGTCAGTTGGCCGAGTGCCGTGGTGCCAAACTACGCACTCTTGTAGAGCATGAGCCATTGGGGACCATTGGCGCAACGGCCATGCTGTCTCCGGACGATGCACCGGTTTTGGTGGTGTACTCCGACAATCTTACTTCGCTGGATTTTCGTGAGTTAGTTGAAACACACCAAAGGCACAACGCGGCCATGACCCTGGCTACGCACGAAGAACCTTTTCAAATACCTTTCGGTGAAGTCGTTGCGCAGGATCACAAGGTTGTGGACTACCGCGAAAAGTCGATTCATCCGATTCGGGTATCGAGTGGGCTTTACGTTCTTGGTGCCAGAGCCTTTCGCTGTCTAAACGAAGGGGAACGAGTCGACTCGCCCGATCTCGTGCATCGGCTACTTCGTGAGAATGAGCTAGTCGTGAACCATCCACATAATGAACTGTGGCTGGATATGAATGATGCGACTCGGCACGCCGAGTTGGAACAATTGATATTCGAACATCCCAAGCGACTCGATTGGCTTCAAGCCACGCCAGATCGAGAAGGTCGCCTAATCGTGGAGTGGGATGATCGGCTCACGGTTCGCGTGGTACCGTCCGATGAATCGATCGATGGGGTTGGCTTGCAACCCTCTGATCAGATTCTCGGAACCTTCGACGAGATCGATCTTGTTGATGGAGGTATCGTACGGTGGACAGTTTCGCTTGCCAGTGGGGCAAAACCATCGATTGATGAGCTTTCGCAAGGTAAGCAACTCGACGGCTACGAAGAGTCTTCAAAGGCGGCTCGCGCGGTAGCGTACGCGACCGCCTATCTTACTTCAGTCCAAGCTGTTCAAGGTTCGTCGAACAAGTAGGGTAGGGCTGAAGTTATGATATGCAGCAAAGTAGTCGTCACTGGGGCGGGTGGGTTTCTAGGCCAGTACGTTCTCGCGCGTTTTGAGGAAGCCGGTCTGTCTGTAAGAGCACTGTGTGGGCAACCCCACGAACTGCCAATAGTCGAGCCTTTGTGTGATCAGGTGGTTGTCGGCGACATTCTTGATCAGCAGGTGGTTGAGAATCTTGTCGAGGGATGTGATGCCGTAGTTCACCTGGCGGGTCCTCCCTTTGTACACGAATCGTTTCAGCGGCCCCTTCAGTACGCCAAAGTGCATGTGCTGGGTACCATTGCCGTGGTGCAAGCGTGTTTGAAATTCGGGGTTCACCGGCTTGTGTATATCTCATCGGCTGAAGTATACGGACCAGGTGGTTCTGAGGACGTGCACGAGGACCAACCGCTACGGCCTCAATCACCCTACGGACTTGCAAAAGTCTCCGCCGAGCAGTTCATCGATAACCTGGTCGCCGGCAGTGAACTAAGCAGCATCATTCTTCGGCCCTTCGCTGTTTATGGTCGCGGGGGGCATGAAGCAGCGCTAATTCCGACAATCGTGCAGCAGATCCAAACGGGCGAAAAAATCGAACTTAACAACTTGCAGCCCATTCGAGACTATTGTCACGTGCAAGATGTCGCCCGCGCCGTCGAGTTGGGGCTTCGTTGCAAGTCTAGTGGCGTAGAGATGGTAAACATCGGTAGCGGGCAAGGGCACAGCGTTGAGCAGCTTGCGAGGAAAGCACTAGAGGTTGCGAATCGGGAGCTTCCCGTTCTGCAGCGTTCCTCTAGCGATCGACCGCGGCTGCGAGATGTAGACCGGCTAGTTGCATCAATCGACCGAGCAAGAACGCTGCTTGGATGGCAGCCCCGGATTAGCTTAGAAGTCGGACTAAAAGAACTCCTGAACGAACGCATCATCGAACCTTCATCTCAAGAGTAATCATGAGCACAACCTATCTAGTAACCGGGGCCCAGGGGTTTGTGGGTCGGTATCTGGTATCGCACCTTTTGGCTACTGACCCCGAAGCTAAAGTTATCGGAATAGGGCGTTCATCTCGAAATGACGAGACGTTTACGCACCACATCATGCTTGGGCAAAACAATGTGCCGGCTCCGTTGCCGGAGGAGTTGCTGCGTTCTGGTAAGGATCCTCGCTACAAGTACGTCGATGCCGATCTGCTTCAGGTGCCGCGGATGGTATCAGTGCTCGAACGCGAGCGACCGCAGGTGGTGTTTCACCTGGCGTCTGCACTCCGCGACGATGCTGTAGATTCCTTGTTTCAAATTAATACGGTAGGCACCGTACGACTCTTGGAGGCCTTAGTCGCAGCCAGGTTGGATCCACTCCGGGTCGTCTTCGCATCTAGTGGAGGAGTATATGGAGTCCCGCCGGGTGGGGAGTTGCCCCTTGAGGAAAGCGTGCAAGGGCGACCGTACGACCTGTATTCGCTGAGCAAGTGGACCACCGAATGCGCAATTGAGATGATCGCGCGTCAGACGCGCACCCCCGTCATTGTTGGTCGCGTCTTCAACGTTTTAGGGGCAGGTCAGGATGAACGGCATGTCTGTGGTAGGATCATCAGCCAATTGACGGCGATTGAATCTGGGGCAAAGTCGAACGCCTTGCAAATTGGGTCGCTTGAAACCACACGCGACTTCATCGACGCTCGAGATGTGGCCACAGGGCTCAAGGTTTTGGCAGATCGTGGCGAGCCGGGTGAAATCTACAATGTAGCCAGCGGAAGGGAGACCTCGATACAAGAAGTGCTCGATCTGTCACTAGAACTGACCGGGCAGAAAGAAAAGACCGAGATTTGCCATCTGCCCCCCAGGCCGGCCGATATTCCTCGGCACTTTGGTTCCATCGACCGCTTGGCCAAACTGGGCTACGAACCACAGCATCCCCTGTCTGAGAGCTTGCAGAGTATTCTCGACTACTATCGCGATTGCTGGGGCAAGCTGGAGAGCGAACCCCAGTCAAATTAATCTGATGCCGTACGATGGGCTACTTCGGGCTGGCCGCAATGAATAGCGTCGTCGGCCCTTGTTTGGGCACAAACGGTCCCAGTCGATAGCGAAGTTGAAACTCGACCCATTGGCCTAAGGAGTAGATCCCTTTGACCTTGCGGAGCTGGCCTTGCTCAGCGGCTTCTCCGTGCCAAGGGCGGGCTCCGGCGCCGCGTCGCAACTGAACCAGCGGCTTAATGAATTTGCGGCCCAGCACCAGCGGCAGCATCGATGGCACCAATCCGAATTGTTTACTCTGCTCGATCTTGAGCCCCGCCTGGTCGAGCACGTTGTTGATGCCTTCAAGCGAGAAAAACCATCGATGGTCGGGACACGCCAGCCCGCCATTCCAGCGATACCAACGAGTATCAACGCCGCCCAGGGTTCCAACCTCAAAGCAGAGTATCCCACCAGGACGAAGTAACCGCGTCATTGCCCGAAGCGACTCCACCGGATCAACAAAGTGGCTCAGCAAGTCGACATGAAATACGATGTCGAACTCGCCCGCGGGCAAGTTGGAATTCTCGATGTATGCCGTTTCTACGTCGATGCCGTGAGTGCTTCGGCAGAGTTCCGCCCGCTGCGTATCAGGCTCACAGCCTGATACCTCGAAACCCCGCTTTCGACATTCCACCAGAAAATGACCAGCTCCACACCCGACCTCGAGCAGTTTCCCGCCGGGACGGATCGATTCAAGCCAGTCGGCCCTTAGTTTTGCAGGCCGAGAGTAATATGAATCGTCGTGTAACTCGGTAGTCAAGTCGACCTGCTCGGGGGGAGGAGGCGGGTCAAGGTATGCCACGCCGCAATCTGCGCAGTAGTGAACGTCGTAGCCGTGCTCCTGCCACACAACGGGGCCCTCGTTGCGATTGCAGAGCAGACAGGCCCCACTCCCCGAGGTCGTTGGCCCGTCGCTGGAAATGAGAGTCTCTTGATTGTTCATACCGCGGTCTCCCATGGGTGCGCGGCACCCTGGTTCAATTCTATCAAGCAGGACGGGTGATGTCCGATTCTCGGCCTGCCAACTTCAGGAACAGGTTCTCCAATGCTTTGGCCATAACTTCAGGGCGGTGTCGCTCCTCGTACCTCTTGCGTGCATTTGCTCCAAAGCGAGCTGACGTCTCAGGTTCGGTAAGCAGGCGAATCAACGCTTCGGCCAAAGCTTGCGGGTCATTCTTGGGAACAATAAGACCGCTATGCTCATGAATGATCAGTTCGGGAATGCCCCCTTCGTCCGTACCCACGGCCGCCTTGCCAAGTGACATCCCCTCGTGGATGGAAATAGGAGAAGAATCTTTGAGCGAGGCATGTACTTGAATGTCGATCAGTTGATGAATGTCACCGATGTATCCTGGGTACCCGAATACAAACAAGCGGTCGCCGAATCCATAATCCTTGGCCATCGCCCGCAGTTGTTCGGGGTAATCGGGAGGACACCGTGGGCTTACATAACCGCACAGAATGAAGATCGTCTTAGGGCACCTCTCAAGCACCGTCCTGGCAGCTTCGACAACCACGCGATGCCCCTTGGTCGGGTCGAGGCGGCTAACTTGCCCGACGATCGTGTACTCCGGATCTAAGGGGAGGCCCAACTCGGCAGCCACTTCTTCTTTTGAACGAGTTGGCTCTGGTTCAGCAATGCCATTGGGAATGACGTAGGTGGGAATCGGCCGCCAGAAGAAACGGTTCATCTCTTCGGCACGTTGATTCGAGTCGGTGATGAGTGCTTTGTGCAGCAAGAAAATGCTGCGAGCCATGGTGCGCCAAATGGGGCGATCCCAAAAGTGCATGTCATAAGCCGTCATGGCGAATGCCGATCTTGCTGAAACGGCTGCTATGGTGCCCAGCACAATCGGAACGTGGCCATGTAGTTCCACAACGTCAATCTTGTCTTTTCGTAAGGCTTGGCGCACTCGCCATATCGTCTTTAGCGATCTCCACACCCCTCGAAAAATTGTACGAGGGTCGAGCCTAGCGAGTCGATCGTCCCAGGGCGGCATGTCCAGATCGATTACACGAATGTCTGCTTCGCGAAGCTGCTGCCTCACCGAGCCGTGGATTTCATCTCGCTGCCGAGATTGGCTGATGACGATGAATCCGAAATCAACCCGCTCGCGGTCGGTGTGCAGCGCAAAGTTAGACATCCGGGTTTCCGGACCACTCACGTGAATGTTTGGCAGTAGAGTGGCGACGCGAAGTGGGCGCTGAGTGGTACGATTCTCAGGTTCACCTGGAGCTGGGACGGATACTTGCTCGCGCGATTCTGTCATTTGCGACGAATTCGTTTCTAGCTGTGACATGTTTGCTTAATTGACCTCCACCCAGCCGCCCGAGGTGGTGGCCTTTAGTAACGCGTCGGTCACGCGTTGTGTCCGAATGGCATCTTTAAGATCACTCTGAATCAACGAGCGATCGCCCGTGCGCACCGCTTTCAAAAATGCCTCTGCCTCAGTAGTGAATGGGTCCGCCTCTTCAAGTCCCGCTTCGTCTCGTAATACCAAGTCCCAACCATCCAGGCAGATGGCCCGATTCGGGGTGAACACTTGCAGGTCGATTTGTTTCGTTTCTGCCGCGCAACTGGCGAACATGGTTGCCAAAACGCCTTCCCGAGTTCTAAACAAGGCGGCCGCAGACTCGTCGACGTCGATCTCGGCATCGGGCGAACTGGGTTTGGCCATGGCGGCAACTTCGACTACTTCGCCACAGAAATGACGAATTAAATCGATGAAGTGGGTGCACTGCTCGTTGAGCTGCCCCCCAGACATGTTGCGTTGCCCCCACCAAGGCACCCGATAAGCATTTCCCACCCAATGGCACGCCAAACCCAAGACTCCCAGTTCTACGGATAACTGTTTGGCGCGTTGAACCGAACTGCGGTAGCGATTCATGTAGCCAACCGAGGTGAGGGTGTCATATTGCTCCACCACTCCCAATATCTCGGCCGCGGCCAAACTGCTTAGCGCGATAGGCTTCTCAAGGAAGATGGCCACTCCTGATTGAGCAGCTTCGCATTCGACGGGACCCCGAGTGAACGGCGGCGTGCAGAAAAAAGCCGCGTCGATTCCCGACCAGTCAATGCTTTCAGCCCGTTCGACGGCCGTTGTATTGGGCAAGGTTCGTGCCAGCTCTTCGGCGCGCTCTCGGTCCGGATCACAAATCACTTCTACCGATTCACCGAGAGCATGGCACGCAGCCGCGTGAATCTTACCCATGCGACCCGCACCGATGATCGCCACCTTTAATCGCTTGCTCATGAAGTATGTATCCAGGAATGATCTGTATTGGCTACTGTTTTGTCGTGCTAAGGAGGTTTCGGAGGAGCTGTTCGGCAATCGTGCGTTCTTTTCCACATGGCGTGAGAGGGTCGAGTTCAACGGCCTCAAGAATACGGTGCTCGCTTGGCTCTAGAGTAGCTGCAAGAACCGCTCTCTCATGTCGTTCGAATCGCTGCACCCAGTGATTCACAGCTTGGTTGGCTGGCGGTTGTTTGGTCTCCGTCCAGCCTTCGTTACCGATGCTGACCGGCAACTCGCGGACAATGCCATCGGACAGTACATTGGCCACGTGTTGACGCCCGTCATTGTTCAGAATGGATGCAATCACCGACACAACTGACATTTCGTACCAGGGCATATCTCGCTTCGACAGGCTTTTCGGTACAGCTTGGAGATTTTCGGCCAGTTCTTTCAGGATCTGGCTTCGAAGCGTTTCGAGTTCTGCTGCCCTTCCTTTGGCTAAGACATACTGACCCAGCATCAGCCGAAAGTACTTGGTCGGCACCGCCCCTAACTCGCGGATGACTTTGACCGGAATGTTTCCAATGGTGATATCATCTGAAAGCCGGGCGAGTCGTTCTACCAGATCCACGTCACTGTTTCGCAGGTGGTACACAAACCCACGGTGATTTAGCCCGGTGTATGCCCAGCTTGTGTCTTCTAGCGAAATGCCAAGTTGATTACATGCCAGCATCGCGGTTTGAAGGGGAAGCTCGCATAGCCCTATGCATTTCTTGCCGACATGCTCTGCCAGGCATGCTGTTGCCACACTAAGAGGATTGGTCAGGTTCAGTACCCAAGCTTTGGGAGCCAGGTGCTTAATCCGCTCGCCTAGATGAGATAGAAACGGTCCCGCCCGCAGAGCAGCTTGTAGCCCGGCGGGACCTAGAGTTTCATCGGGTGGGCAACCGAAACTGGCTGCAAGCCGTTCGTCGTCATCCCTTCCATTGAGCCCGCCATATCGAATTTGGTGGACCACAATCGTCGCGCCTTCGATCGCGTTATCTAGATCGGTTGTAGAACTTACCGACCAACTGGAACCAAGGCGACGCTGCGAATAAGCCTCAAGCAACTCCAGAGCTTCAACGCTACGACCCTGCAGTACCAATCTGGCGGAAGGGACACCCTGAGCAGGGTCGGCTAAGGCTTCGACCATGGCTACTGTGAATGGGCTACTTCCGCCAAGCACGGCGATTGTCGGTGTCATGGTCGATCACCCTCCGGCGAAGAATGCTCGAATGGTGTCGCCCACATAGTCGATTTCATCGACCGACATGTCAGGGCGTATTGGCAGTGCCAGAAGTTCGCTACACAGCGCCTCTGCAACGGGGAACTGCCCTTCCTGCCAACGACCGGCAAACGCCGGTTGGAGGTGAATCGGCTGCGGATAACGCGTGACCGCATCAATCTGATTAGATTGCAAGTGATTTAATAGCGCATCTCGCCGGTCACAGCGAATTTGAAAGAGGTGGTAAACGTGCTGCTCATCGGGGTGCTCACATTGGAACGTCAGCGGAAGGTCCTGAAGCCGCTCCCGATACGCAGCAGCGACTTGCCGACGTTTCTCATTCCATGCGTCGAGATGTGGCAGCTTTTCGGAAAGCACCCGGGCTTGTATGGTATCGAGTTTTGAGTTGCCGCCGATTAACACGTGTTCGTTTTGCCCGCGTTGACCCAGTGACCGGGCTGTTCGCAAAAAAGTATCGCACTGCTCGTCACCAGTCACCACCATCCCGGCATCGCCAGCAGCGGCCAGATTTTTGCTGGGGTGAAAGCTAAAGCAAGCCAACCGACCAAAGCTACCCACGCGCTTACCACCAAAGGTTGCTCCATGCGCTTGGGCTGCATCCTCGACGACCTCAACACCTGCCGACTCAGCGATCGGCATAATCGCGTCCATCCGACACGGTTTGCCATAGAGATGAACTGGCAAGATCGCTTTTGTGCGAGCTGTGAGTGCAGCTTCGAGTTGATCTGCGTCCAGCAGGAAGGATTCGGCATCTGCATCGACCAGCACTGGAGTCGCCCCAACCAAGCAGATCGCGGCCACGGTGGCGTGGAATGTGTTGGCGGCCGTAATCACCTCATCGCCCTGGCCAATGCCGAGCGCCGCGAGTGCGAGAATCAGGGCATCGGTTCCGCTATTGACCCCGCAGGCATACGGAACCCCGGTGTACTCAGCGAAATCGTTCTCGAACGAGGCAACTTCTTTCGAAAGAATGTAGCGGCCTTCAAGCAGCATCTCTCGGATATCGGCGACCAACGAGTCGACGCCTTCGCCGAGTTGGTGAGGGTAGTTGTAACGTTTTACTTCCATTGATGTCTTTCCAAGTGTGCCATAGCCGCATGTCCCGCACCGATGAGCCCGGCGCGATCGCCCGCCGTGCCCAACTCCAGCATCTGATTCCAGTCTTGCCCTAAGTTCCAGCAGTTTGTCTCGCACAATTCAGCCAACAGAGTGACATAGCGTTCTCCCAAGGCCAGGGCAAAGCCGCCCATCATTACGAATCGCTCGATGCCGATGGCATTATGAATGGTGGCCAAAACGCGAGCCAAAGGTTCGGCCGCACATTGCACCTGGGATGAGACCCACTCGTCTTCAGCACGATAGGCTGAAGCGATGTGCTCGTTGGTGATGCTGTCTATCATCCCTTCCACAGATTCAAAAAGAACCGAGCGCTTGAATCCTGATGGGTCGGATTGTGCTGCGCGAACCACAGAGGCGAGGGTGCCGCGGCCCGAGGCTATTCCTCCCAGGTGGCCGCGGCCTCCGCAATCACAAGGCGGAGCATTCGGAGAGGGATCGACCACGACGTGACCGATCTCGCCTCCACGACCCATAGGGCCAACGACAGGTTCGCCGTTGATGAAAACCTTATTACCCACGCCGGAGCTTACGGTGGTGATGCAGAAGCTTTCCGTTGGACTGTTCAGGTAGTAGTAGCCTGCGGCGGTAACGTCGTTAAGCAACTCGATGTGGGCTGTGGGCCACCGCGAGGCCAATTCTCGGCCCACCGGGCGGGGCTTGGTCGATTCACCGCCAAACACCGTAGGGACCGAAAGGACATTGCCATCGGGATCAATCGGGCCGGGAAACGCGCAGCCGATGCTCTGCGGAGGAGTGTCCCCACAAAGCGAATCAACCAGTTTCTCCATCGCCGTGTATAGATGCTGGCTGCGTTCATCAAGCGAACAGCCGGGCATTATGTGATGGTTCGGCGTGTCGTGGTGAAGGATGTCCCCGATCGTGCGAGTCTGCGGATCGTAATTGGCCGCACGAACGCTCGTTCCACCAATATCGAAAACGATGCAACGATTAGGTTGGTCGTCTCGAGTCATGGAACTTGCCTACGCACCGGTGAGAGTTTTCGATTGCTGCTAAGCTTTGGGCTCAATTGTGGGTTGGGGGCAATTCGTTGACGACGGGTATCGCCATAAGATCACCTTGCCTCCGGCACGGGGACCTCGATCACAATCAATCGCAACTCTCGGTCGCCAATGTTCTTGAGTCCGTGGGTTCCGCCGGGGCGGTTTACAATCACATCGCCGTCGGAAACCTCGAATTCTTCACCGTCGACGTGCATGAGCCCCCGTCCAGAGAGCACGATGTAGATCTCTTCGTTGTCCATCGTATGCGTGTGGATGCCGATATCGGCGCCCACAGGAACAATGGAGGCATCAATAAAATTGGCAGAACTGCCGCCGGCTCGGTCGACAAGTCGCTTGAACAGGATCGGCTGTTCGCCATCGTGAGCGATCACCGAATCGAACTGGTGGTCGGTGTAGCGATAATACCCACACTTGGCGGCCATCGTGCTGGTCCTTGGCTACCTCGCGATGGCCGAAGCTCGAGTACGTTCTAATGCTTCGACAACCCGGTCAAGGTTTTCGAGCGCGTCCTGTATGAGATCGGCATCAAGGTTGTCGAGTTGGCGAACAAAATCCACCTCACCCAAGTCCACGGGAATCACCAGATTGGGATTTCCACCGCGATGCCTGGCGGCCTCCACCAACGCTTCCAAGCAAGTGTCGGTGTCTAGCAGGTTCGATCGTGTTGGCAGTTCAAGGTCGTCGAGCAGTTGAATGATCTGCTCCAGGCAGACCTGAGGCAGCAGCCCCATCTCGTGGGCGATAGCCGAACTAATGGCCATATCTGCAGCCACGGCATGGCCATGTGGAACGCTGTAGTCCGACAACGCCTCCAACTTGGGGCTGAAGGTATGTCCGAAATCTACCTTCCGCTCATAGGTTTGGTCTTCATAGATATTCGGAGCCAGTTCGTTAAGCATCAACTGGCAAGACTGCCAAATTACCTCGCGGGCCCGGTGGCATGGCTCGGCAATACCGCTATCGAGAAGTTGAGTTCCGTGGTGATAGAGGTCGAGAAACAATTCACGATCACAGGCCAGGGCAATCTTCACGATTTCCGACAGACCGGCACTCAGTTCTGAACGCCCCAAAGTCTGCAGATAAATAGGGTCGATGAGCACTTCTTCAGGTGGGTGAAAACAGCCGAGGTAGTTCTTCTTCTCGCCGAAATTCACACCGCCCTTAATGCCGATGCCTGCATCAACCTGTCCAATCAAGGTGGTCGGAATTCGGATATGTCCGATCCCGCGTCGGATGAGCGAAGCGGCGAGCGTCACAATATCACTGCAAACGCCACCACCGAAGGCAACAAGTACATCGCTGCGACCCAGCCGAATCTCGCCGGCTGTTTCACAGACTTGCAGTACGTTGTGCATTGACTTCGATGCTTCGTCGCAAGGAACGGTCAACACGTGCGCGTCGAGTTGCCAGTTGGCGAGCGCTTCGCGAAGTCGACCACCGTAAATGCGGTCAACGGTTGGTGTGAGTACCACCAACGAGCGTCGATGGCCGAGCAATCTAGCCAGGTAGTAGGAGTTCGATCCAAGGAGATCGTCAACCAAGCTCACCGAATAACTGGGTACCGTCGACTCGCAGGCCACACGGTAAGCTCGCAGCACTTTGTTCGGAGGTTTAGGCTGTGTGTGCGTGCGGGCCTGAATATTCTGTGTTCCACTCACTTGAAATGCACCCTCATCCTACGATCCACCGGAAGAAAACCCAATTGACCGCCCTGCCCAAGGTAGACCGCCCCTGAATTGCCCGCGACGCTAGCGTCCCCCCATTGTACTTGGTATTTCTGCCGGTGCACTGATTCTGTGGGCATTTTTCTCGCTGGCGAACAGCCGATTTCATCGGGTATCCAGGTCGATTCGGGCGGTCGCTGTTGAAATGCCTGATTTGAGCTAAGCCTTTTCGAATCTTCACAAAGCAGATTGCACAGATTGAGTCTGGCATTTCTTTTATGGGCCAATGAATGCGCTTGTCATCTGGGGCAACTTCTCCACCCTGGGTGAACAATGAATCGATTGCTTTAGTCGCCTTCAACCTGCACCCAGGCAGAAGAAGACTTGGAATTTTGTTCCTGGGGATGATGGGGCTGTTTGCCAGAAGAGAGCTAGCGTTCTCAGCTTTACAATCCCCACATCCCTTAAAGACGGAGCTTCAGCTGGGCCGATCCAAGAATTGTGGTACATCATGGCTTTATGGAGTCTCCCGCGGTGAAGCGATACAAGACGCTAGCTATCGGGGTCTCCGCGAGTTGGCTTGTGTTGGCATCTGCATGTATGGTGCCTTCGGCCGCAATATTTCCGACGTACTACACGTGCACTTCGTGTGAGGGCGAGGAGAGTCATGTAACTTACCCGCGCTCGAAAGCATTTCAGCTCGATGTAGATTGTCTGCTATGCGAGTCTGCGCACTCAGTGCTAAGAATTCGTTGCGAACCAAGTCGCTGCTCGATGGCCTGCGAATGCCCGGCGAGTGGTCGTTGCCGACGAAGTTCATCCCCTCAAGTACACCCAAGAAAAAGCTTTGAGACTCACCGAAAATACTTATTAAGTTTCGGTCCTACCTCCCACCCACCCAGTGGCCAGCTACTTTGTCTGAGTGGTTATGCAAGACAAAGATGGTCAGGCCCGACTTTCACCGCGGCACAACGCTGCATACATCTCTCCCGCTTCCTGACATGATCTGGTTTCTAACACTGCACCAATAGTTGCTGCGATATGCCCAGCCGAGTTGGGTGTGCACATGCGTGGATACGCGGTGACTAGGCATCGCCCGAGATGGTTGCAATCGCTCAACGGGCACCCGTTTTGGCAGCCCCTCATCTCCAATCGATTACGTCCTTCGGTGTTGATTGACCCCAAAAATCCGCTGGATTCACCAGAACAAAATTATCGGCGAGGCTCATGCTGTATGGGCTTCGCCGCAGAAAGGATTCGACATGAAATTCAATCGAATGTATAGATCGGCACTTCTTTGTTCGTGCGTGCTGGCCTCGCTCCCGATGTCAGCCGCCCACGCCGCAAGTCGTGCGGAAAATGCTGTTACGCAGTCGTCCCAAGAGGGAAAGTTCACTTTCTTGATGTTCTTTCGCCAGAAAGATGCAACCACAGACGCCATGGCTGATTCACTCAAGCAGAATCTGGCCGACAGGGCGGAGGCAGCCACCATCACGTATGTGCATGTTGGAGACCCAGCCGAACAAGCTCTAGTTCGCAAATACGGGGTCGCTCGGGCCCCCATGCCACTAACCATCGCGCTGGCCCCCAATGGTGCCATTACTGCCATCAGTCCCCGCCGTATCGACGCGGCCAAGGTGATTGAAGCTTTTGTAAGCCCTGCGAGTGCTGACTCGCTTAAGGCACTCCAGGCTCAAAAGTTGGTGTTCATCGCTGTGCAAGATGCTTACCACAGCGGTGAACCGAGCGCGATCCAAGGCTTTGAGCAAGACCCTCATTTCAATCAACGCATGGCCGTTGTCTCGCTGAATACGTCCGACCCCAACGAACAGGGATATCTGGAAGACCTTCAACTCGGCACAGATGCATCCACTCGACCGGCCTTGGTGGTGCTCGCTCCTCCGGGAGTGGTGGTGGGCAAGTTCGCCGCCTCGGCCACGAAGAATGAAATCGCGGCCGCAATCGCAAAGGCGGGAAAATGCTGCGACGACCCAAATTGCAAGCATCACAAGTAAGCCTTGCCGCATCGTCGTTGTTTGCACGGACGCAACTCAGCCGCAAGAAGGATTTCTTACATGAAACTCTCGACCCTGGTCTGTAGAGAACTGTGGGCCAGACCCACGGCCCTACTGACTGCCGCGGTGGCAATTGTCTTAAGCGTGGCAGCGCTGATCGCTATTCGGCACATCACAACGTTTTCTGAGCACGCGGTTGCTGGCCAGCTTGAGCAGTTGGGCGCCAATATCCTGATTCTGCCCCAGGAAAGCACGCTTCAGAACTACTACGCGGCCGATCTGACCGAACGCACACTCCCCGAAAGCCACGTCTTCACCATTCTCTTGGAAGGTCTACCCGGGGTTGAGCAATTATCGCCAAGGCTTTGCGTAACTACAGAGGTGCAAGATCGGGAAGTAACGCTCACCGGAATCTTGCCGCAGAGCGAGTTCGAGGCCAGCGCCGCCTGGCAATCCGTGGGAATGTTCAACGACGAGCCCACGGGATGCGGCCGAGCGAGTTGTGGAGCCAAGCAACTCGATCAATCGAAGGAGGCCCTCACCTCTCAGCGAGCCATTGCCGAATTGGCCGATGATGAGGTGGTCTTGGGTTCCGATGTCGGTGAGATAACCGGCTTGGTCGCAGGGCAACGGATCAAACTTCACGGAGAACTGTTCAACATCAGTGCCGTGCTGCCTTCTACTGGGACCGTGGACGACAGTCGTGTCTATGCCCATCTTCACACCGTGCAGCGACTGACGAATGCCGGAGAAGTCGTCAATGCCATCGAGGTGATTGGCTGCTGTGACGATGCGGCCACGGATCTAGTTCCGAAACTATCCAGTCTGTTGCCCGACGCCAAAGTGGTCACCATCTCTCAAATCGTGGCCACCCAAGTAGGTGTGAACAAACTCCTACAGCAGATCTCCGTGGTGGTCTTCGTAGTGTTGGTGGTGATGGGCGGTGCAACCGTCGCTGGAACCATTTCGGCCAACGTACGTGAGCGTCGTCGAGAGGTCGGCACCCTCATGGCGATCGGTGCAACACCTCGCCTGGTGACCTGGGTATTCTTGTTGAAGGCCCTCTGGCTTGGCATCGGCGGAGCTCTGTTAGGGGCAGTTCTCGGAGTGCTGACCGCCGTGATATTCGGGGGGGATTGGGCCGGATTGGCGATTACACCATTGCCTGGGTTGATTGCCGGCGGGGTCGCGGCAGCCATCGTAGTGACTGCGTGTGCAGCCTACTTGCCCGCCCGTCACGCCGCCAAACTGGATCCTTGCATTTGCTTTCAAGAGGTTTAGTTATGTTCCAGCTACAAGAGATCCAGAAAACCTATTCTCGCCGCGGCGAAAAGGTGCTCGCCTTTCAGGCAGATCGACTGGATATCGCATCGGGCGAATACCTGGCAGTCGTTGGGCCCAGTGGAAGCGGGAAAACCACCTTGCTCTCGATTCTAGGCGGGATGCTTTCTCCGGATGAGGGGCAAGTGCTTCTCGAGAACGTCGACCTATACGGGCTCGATCCGATCGAACGCACCGAGCTTCGCCGGCAGCGAATTGGCTTTGTGTTTCAGACTTTCAACCTGCTGCCCTACCTGAGTGCCGTAGAGAATGTTCAGGTGCCCATGTTTTTGGCCGGGGTTATTCCCTCGGCTCAGCAGGAACGTGCCACAGAGTTGCTCGAACAACTCGGGCTTGGCAACCGACTGCATCACAAACCCTGCGAACTGAGTACCGGCCAACAACAACGGGTTGCGCTTGCCCGAACTCTAAGCAATAACCCCAAAGTGATTCTGGCCGATGAACCGACGGGAAACCTAGACCCCGAGAGTCGGGAGCACATCCTCGATCTGTTCGATGGTTTCGTCGCCCAGGGACGCACGATCGTGATGGTGACTCACGATACCAGTGCCGCGAAAAGAGCGGGTCGTTCGGTCCGTCTCGTCGAGGGAAAAATCACCTCGGCATCGTCCACAAATACTCGAGTTGCGGCGTAGCATTCAACGTACGTGTGCCGCAAGAAGTGCAAAGCGAAAACGAAGCAAGGCCTGGGAGCAGCGTCTGAAAATTAGACGCCGTTCTCAGGCCTTGTTTGTGCAAATTCTCGCTGGTCCCAGGTTTCTGCCACAGCAGATACGGACCAGTAAAAGATATTCAGCACGCCCGGTAGGATTCGAACCTACAACCCTCGGTTCCGAAGACCGATGCGCTATCCAATTGCGCCACGGGCGCTAAGCCAGGGAGTATTGTGTGGTTGCCTGATCGGCAACCCCTTTCCCTGGCAGTAATTTACCAAAAGCCGGCTTTTGGGCAAGCCACATCGGAATGCGGTATACCAGCTAGCTCTAGGCTGCGATGCAGATCAGTCGCATCACTCGTAACGCAACGCTTCAATGGGGTCGAGACGGCTAGCTTGCAGGGCAGGGTAGTAGCCGAAGAATATGCCGACGGCCGCTGCAAACAGGATGGCGATGGCCGCTGCAGGCAGTGAGATGACGACTGGCCAGTCGGTTCCGGCTGAGAAGGAATTGATGGCCGTCGTAATCGCGATCGAGGCTCCAATCCCCAGTGCCAGCCCAATGAGCCCTCCAACGCAAGAGAGAACCACCGACTCGACGAGGAATTGCCGCAGGATGTTTTGAGACCGCGCTCCCACGGCCATGCGAATGCCGATTTCTCGGGTGCGCTCGGTCACGGATACAAGCATCGTATTCATGATTCCGACGCCGCCCACAATCAGGGAAATTCCGGCGATCGAAGATAGCATGATGGTCATGGTGCCGGTAACGATACCCAGCACCTCGGCAATTTCAGTGGTGTTTTGCACGCGAAAATCAGGGGCATCGCCGGGGTGGATGTGATGGCGTTCGAGCAATAATTGATTGATATCACTCTCGGCCACCGACATGGTCGAGGTTGATCGGGCCGAGACCATGATGACGTTCACATTGTTGAACTCGGATCCTTGCAACCGCTTCTGCACGGTGCTGTAGGGCATTAACACCACGTCATCCTGATCGTCGCCGAATAGATTCGCTCCCTTTTCTTCCAAAACACCAATCACTTCGAAGGGGGTATTGCGAATGCGGATCTTTTGCCCAAGCGGGTTCGTGGTTTGGAACAGCTTGGCAACCAGCGTGTGACCGATCACACAGACCTTAGCCGCTGAGGTTTCATCGCGTTCGGTGAAGAACCCGCCGTGTCGCAATCCCCAGTTGCGAACCGCTAGGTAGTCGGCTCCCACGCCCAGCACTTCTTTTGGGCTCCAATTCGAATTCCCGTAGATGACTTGGGCCGAAGTGAAAACCAAAGGGGAAGCCGCCAGTACGGACTCGCACTGATCGCTGATTGCTTTAGCATCGTCGGCAGTGAGCTTTACCGAAGCACCTTGCCTTACGCCTCCACGCCGTTGGCTCCGCGGCATCACGGCGATGACGTTCGTACCCAGCGATTCGAACTGCCCCTGGACCAGCGAACTGGCGCTTTGCCCCACCGAAACCATGGTGGTCACGGCGGCAATACCAATCACCACGCCAAGTACGGTCAGCCCTGCCCGCATCTTATTTTTGGCGAGGGCCCTGATCGCAATGCGAAAGGTGATGAAAAAGTCCATGTTTGTGCTTCCAACGGCCTAACGATAGGTGCGGTCCATCTAGCGCGGCTTGATACCAGTGACTAGTGCCTGACCTTCTTCAAGATCACCAGAAACGATGGCGGTGTATCGGTTGTCGCTGATCCCGGTAACGATTTCAACTGCTTTGAGGTATTGCCCGTCTTCGACCCAAACATGCCGTCGATTGCGTTCCCGCCCCGACTCGGCCTTCTCGCGAGCCGATACGTCGGTCTCGATATCCTCGTCCTCATCGTCGTCGACGCCGTCCAGCAACGCTCGATCTTCTTCACGGACTTGTCTCGCACTGGGGTAGAACCGCAAGGCAGCGTTGGGCACGCACAGGGCATCTTCCTCTTCATCGATTTGAAACGAGAGATTCGCCGTCATCCCCGGCAATAGCTTCAAATCGCCATTCGCGGCCGCAACGACTACGGGATAAGTCACCACACTCTGAGTCTCGGTCGAACTGAAGCGAATTTGCTCGATCTCACCGACGAAGAGGTCGTCTGGGTAGGCGTCGACCGTGAACTCCACAGGGTTGTTTTTTTCTTGTGCCGAGCGAATTAGCCCGATGTCAGCCTCGTCCACCGAGGCGAAGATGTGCATCTTCTTGTCCATCTCTGGAGCGATGATAAACAGCTCGGGGGCCTGAAACTGGGCCGCCAACGTCTGTCCCGGATCGATTTTCCGATCGATAATAATTCCATCAACAGGCGAACGAATCTTCGTGTAACCGAGGTTGGCTTCCGAGTTGTTCAAATTCGCTTCTGCCTGATCGATGGTGGCTTCGGCCACCTTTAACTGAGCCTCTAGTGCCACGCGGCTGAAATGGAAGCGGTCCATCTCCGTTTTCGAAATGAAGTCAGCGTTTTCTGCACGCAGGGCGATCGATCGGTTTTCATTATTGATGGCCTGCTGGAGTTCGGCTCTTACTCGTTCGACATCGGCTTGGCGTGTGATTAAGGTTGCCCGATCGCGTTGAACCGAGGCCTCGTAAATCCGCGGGTCAATTTCCGCCAGCAACTGCCCCTTCTCCACCCGGTCGTTAAAGTCGGCATGCAGATCTTCGATGGGACCGGAGACGAACGAGCCCACCAACACCGATAGAACGGGCTTCACTTCGCCGGTCGAATTTACCACCGAGGTGATTGTTCGACGCGTAACTTCCTCGGTGCGGAAAGAAGGCCGGTTCCGCTCTCTCCAGTAGCTCATGGCTGGCTTGTAGGCTGCCCAGCCGGCACCGACGATGATCGCGGTAACAATAAGTAGCTTTACAAAGAATCGCATAGTATCTGCAGAAAGACTGAGAGTTCCGGAGGTTGCAATCTTCTATTGTAACGCAAGAGGCGGGCGCCGAAGAGCTACTAACCCAAGCTTTCAAGCCAACCGGAATCCGGGACCCACGCGGGTGTTAAGACGACTGCCGTCGCCTTCGCGATGCCCACCAAATTAGGGGCAGGGCGGTGGTGGCAAGGAAAATGGTGCTTGGTTCGGGGACCAAGAATGTGACAACCAGTGAACCCGAACTTGGAAGGGTAAGACTGCTGTAGCCAGATAGATTCTGGAACGAAATCGCAGAACCATCCAGCCAAGCGCCGGCAACCGGGAGTTGGTCGTAGAGGAACAATTGCGATCCGGGCACGAAACCATCGCCCGAGAGAGTTCCCCGAAGTTCGTCCTCGCCAAATAGGAGGGTCATGGTCAGCGGCGATGTCGTTTCGAGAAGGGTGTCGCCCTCATAAGCAAGAAGCGAACCGTTGGCCATCATCAGCGAGTTGACCATGCCGTCGACCTTGCGGAAGTAGGTGTATTCCGCATTGGTTTCGATGTCGCCCGCAGTGAACAAGTCGCCGGCGTTCTGCTGCACCAAAATGGTGTCGACCCAATTCTCAGCAACGTTCGCGACCTCGGCCGCCAGATGCTGGGTGCTTGAAGCCAGCTTGGTGATCGCAAGCTGGGAAGCCGTTCCAGCGGCACCCGTCTCCAGCACGCTAAGGAACAAGCCATCTTCAGCCGACATCGTTGCGTTCATGCGCTGCGTGGCTTCAAAGTCGTTGAAGGTGTCGTGCATCCACAGGCTCTCGGTGCTAAGCGTAAGGCTATCGCTGGCCAGCAAGTGCTCGATTACCTGCGATCCATCAAATTCCCACTTTACGGCCACGTAATTGGGATCGGAACTGAGAATGGTCTGAGTGCCACGGCCCACGAGGTTGAATCCATAATCGTGTGATGCATCGCCCTGCATCCGATCGGCGACCACGAAATAGTCTTCGTTGGCAAAAGCTGTACTCCGGCGGACGTTGACACCACCGTAATTCGTCTCCAGCGTGGCAAAGTCGCTCACGCCGGCAAAGCCGCCGTGTTCTGTGCTGTCTAACCGGTGTGTGTGGATGAAGTCTTCAGGCCGCATTGCGCGTCCCAAATTGTTTCCGCCCACATCGCCGTCGACCAATACGACGTTGTGCCAGTGGGGCGACTTCACATACAAACCACTAGGTGAGTTCGAAAGATCCGTTCTGTCGTAGCCCGGGGCGACCAGAATATATTTTCCCTGCGATGAAAGCAGGATTTCGCCAGTGTCATTGTGGCTGTGAAAAGCTGCGAAGCGGAGGTCTATCGGTGGGTCTTCACTGTAAAACTCCACGGCCGGGCTATCGATGCCAGGCGACATCAGCAGGTAGTCGCTGGTGGGGCCCCAATCGTGTCGAAACACCGTGATCTTGCTCTGACCTGTAGCAAAATATGTGGGTGACATCGAAGGTTCTGCAGCAGTTACGCTTTCCACATCGGCCAGCGCGAAAGGTGAAGCATGGGTGTGGTCTCGATTGGTCAGATTGGTGCTATTCCAAGGGTAGGGGTGCGTTGCTGTCGATTCGAGGTACCAGCGAAGATTCGATGCGCTTTCGGCATCGGTCGATGACATGAGGTAGTGGATGCCGACCGGATAGTTCAATCCGTTCGATACGTTGGGCGTTGTGCCATCCGGTTTTCGTAGCGCGATGCTCATGTCGATGTAAGGCTGAAAGTTGGTCGATAAGTCGACACCAGAGCCCTGCTCGTAAGCGCGAGCAAACAGGGCGATGTGCCGCATCGTGTAGTTAAGGTAGTGGCCTTGGCTGTCAGTGAACCACCCGTCATCAGTGGTGCTGTAATCGAAGTGGCCCTGAAGGTCTTCAAGCCCTTTATTGAGCAACATCTGGTCGCGAAGCATAACACCGGCCAAAGCGCGAGTGGCACCAATCTTTGCCCGGGCGTTGCTGTAAGTGCTGTTCCCCGTGTCCAGGCTTTGGGTCACCGTGAGTAGGCGATTCTCGATAACCTGACGCGTGGCGGCCGGCAGGTCGGTTTGAGACGCTCCTCGGATAAAGTCATATGCCGACAGATAACTCGTCAGCGCTTCTGGCCGCGTAATGAAACTTCCGCCAGGAACATCGAGCACTTCCAAAGCTGCCACGGCTTTATTGAGATCGGCCAAGTTGCCGGTCATCGCATACCGCAGGCCTGCTGATTGGGCGATACTGGCATCGGCGACCGCCGTATCAAAATCGGTCGGAACGCTGCCACTTGTGCTCTGATTCGCCCTGGAAATGATGCTGAAAATCCAAACCTGTTGATCGGTAGTGCCGCCCGATAGCCAGGATGATTGGAGCGAAGTGAGGTTGTCGCCCAGGATAAGAGAACTAGTGGGCATGCTCGGCGGCAACACACCGGTGGTCGAACCAATCGACATCTGGGCAATGGCCGGAGAAGCACACAGCTCCAACAGCAGAAGCGCGACCGCAAAGAGATTGATTTTCCGGAGCAATCGCGAGATTTGAGAAGCCTCTTCAATCATTAACGTTCCCAACTAGCAAAGCGAGACGCCCCAGTACGCATAACTGGGCCGATACCCCAATAACGGCGCAGATTTCGCCGATGTATAGCAAAAGCCCTCGCACCCCCTGGATGGGCCCCAGCACCTGCTCTAATGTAATCGTTCATGCCGGCTGGGGCCACATTTTTTGTAGGCCGATATGCCCTAGAAATGGCCTTTTTGGCGAGTTTAGGGCTGGCCCGGCAGTTCGTTCGGTGAGTCCCACAGAATGCGGGCGCAATATATGCGGTTATCGCTACCGTATTCCTCAACGCCCACCGGCTGCATCCACTCGGTCACTGTGACCCAGGTTTCGACTTCATTCACATCGACCACGCCAAAATTCCCCAGCCGCGCACCATGCTCGGGCACAAGCACTTGCTCGGTGTCGCGAAGTACACACAGCCGATCGGGGTCGACCTGTGCGATGAACAGCGGAGCGCGATGCCGAAAGACGTGGTCGTTGTCGGCACCCCGACGCGTGTACACAAGGAACAATCCGTCGCTGTGGGTAACCCAGTGCTGCTGAGTGTTGTAGTTCCCCAACTCCTCGCCGTCGTCGAACTTCCATTTGATCGGCTTGTCGAAATGCAAGCCATCGGTCCCGCTAGTCACATAGCCGGATTCATCGTTGCGGAGCGTCAGAAAATAGCGGTCGCCAAACTTTGTGATGGATGGTTCAGCGAGCCCACGCTTGATCGGAACGGTGTGTTCGCTGCCGTGTTCGATGTAACGAAGCTTTTCCCCATCGAACGCGCAGCGCAGAACGGTCGTAGAGAATTGGGTCTCCTCGGGACGCTTGAAATAAATCGGCAGCAAGATCTCGCCATTGGGCAAGTCGTAACGTTGTCCAGATCCCGCCCCCGCGTTGTGAAAGTCTTCACGAGCCTCAGGTAGCTCCACCGATGTCCAGGGGGACCAAGTGCGGCTTTCGGCATCGTAAACCGAATACGCCACCTCGCGTCGCCGAACTTTCATGACGTGGTTGTTTTGGTAGCGAACACTCTGTCCCGTGCCCAGCAGTTTCCCCGTAGCCGCGTGCCACTTGGGAGTAACATCGCAGATGCAGACCTCGATTCCATCCGGCTCATCGCGTCGTCCCAGCGTTTCATGTTCAATAGGGCCAACCCAGGTCTTTCCCAAGTCGTCCGTTCGCATCTCATTCAACGCGTAGAACACGTCTGACCCGGATAGCAGTAGCTTCTGCATGGTCATGACGATTTCGGGATCATCTTCGCCCTCGCCCGGGATTGCCCCGGCACGCGCGTGAACCCAGCAGGTTTTCTTGTCAAAGCCCTGACCGGCGGTTTGGAGTTCGATTCGAAACCCAGGCGAATTCACAGGCTCGTCGGAGCGGGCAGGCAGTGCTCCAGTACCAACCAAAATCAGTACAAGTACGGCTGTGAGATTCTTATCAATCCCGAGGTATCGGTTCATCAGTAATTCTCTCAAGGTGTGAGTTGTGCTTTGCGGTTGCTTGCGTAGGTTTTACGTAAGATATCAGTTATGGGTTGCATCAAAGCATCGATACGAGGGTATTGCAAGTTGAGAGGTGCTCAATCGTTCAAAGAGAGCGACAATAAAGAGAGGAGACTACGCGATGGAATTGAACGAAAAGCAACGTCGAATGTGTTCGGAGAGTAAGTGGGACTTCTCCGACTTGAAGGCACTGTTTCTGAACTGCACGTTGAAACGCTCACCAGACATGTCTCACACGGATGGGCTGGTGAGCATCTCTCGAGCGATCATGGAGGTCAATGGTGTCACAGTCGAGTCACTCCGGCCGGTTGATTTCAAGCTTGCAAGTGGCGTCTATCCAGACATGACCGAACACGGCTGGGAGATAGACGACTGGCCGCAGATCTATAAGAAAGTTGAAGCGGCTCACATCCTCGTGATCACTACGCCAATCTGGCTGGGCGAAAAGTCATCGGTTTGCACCCAAGTTATCGAACGACTTTATTCCTCTTCAGGTGACCTCAACGAGCAAGGTCAATATGCCTACTACGGTCGCGTTGGCGGCTGTTTAGTCACCGGTAACGAAGATGGTGCCAAACATTGTGCTATGAACATCCTTTATTCATTGCAACACTTGGGCTACGTAATTCCGCCCCAAGCAGATGCCGCTTGGGTTGGCGAGGCGGGACCTGGGCCGTCCTATCTCGATCCAGGGTCTGGTGGTCCAGAGAATGACTTCACGAACCGAAATACTACGTTCATGACCTGGAACTTGATGCATATGGCTCGCATGATAAAAGATGCCGGTGGTATCCCCGCCCATGGAAACCAACGTTCGGAGTGGGACGCCGGTTGTCGGCCCGACTATCCCAATCCAGAACACCGCTAGCCGTAGAGACGGTTCGCCTCGCCATAAGTGATCCGTCGCGCCCGAATCAGCCCATCTTTCAGCTCCTCGCCGTGCGGATCGAGATACACTCGACCGGTTTTCAAGCCAGTATCGGGGCGGACGTTCAGCACGTGGATATTGAACAAGAAGCTCGGTTCTGCCGTCGCTTTGAACCAGTGGACATTATCCTTGTAGTCCGACACGGTCGAGCATTCACCCTGGGTGAAGCCACGATCGATCGTCGGCTTGATGATGATGTGGTCTTCTTCGTCTTCAACGCGGTCGTAATGCTTGCCGGCGAAAATTCCATCGAGCACCAGGAACGCCGTGGCCATATTGTTGTGACCATGGGGGACCACCGAGCGTCCATTTTTCACGGCAAAGATCTGCTTGCCGAACACCAGATTCGTCGGCAGCCCTTCAACCTTCGGAAAACTACACCTCAAACTGCGGGCGCCCTTCTCGACCAGCTTGGCCTCAGCCGCAAGTTGCTCCAGATCGACAAACTTCAGTAGCTCCGGCAGATTGACCTCGCCGAAAAGCTCTTCGACTTTCTCCTGCCATACCACCTGCGACATGGCCTCGTCGCGCAGTTCACGTCCCAAATCATTCAGCTCATTGAGCCATCGGGCCATAATGGGCTGGACCTCTTTGCCGAACGCTTCGCAATCGAACAGGGTCTCCAGCAGCGAAAACGTCATCAGCGAGCCGAGCGCTTGCGTGGAAAAATCGCGGCGTGAAACGGAAGACATAGGACTTCCTCCTTGGCTGTTGTGTGGCGAGCAACGATTGCAGAATCGTATCACCGGTGATTTCAGGAGGCAAAGAAAGTTCTCAGACGCCGGCTTACTGCCGATCTAATCCTTTTTCTTTTTGCCGGCCTTGTCTCTTGCCTGATGCTCTGAGGCTGCAAGTTCGGTGGCCTGCCCGAGATCGCCCTGGTCTTTCATCCAGCCGTCCAACTCACCTCGTAACTCAGACAGCACCTCTGCATACTGCGGATCATCGGCCAGGTTGTTCAGCTCGAAGGGATCGGCATCCACATCGTACAGCTCTTCCGCCGGGCGATGCTGAAAGCGATGCACCAACTCGGCGGCGTCGGCGTCGGTTTTTGCCTTGTCCCTCCACGAATCGAAGATGTCGGAAAATACCATGGTGTTCTGGAAGGTCATTTCAGGCGTCAGGTTCCGGATGTACTTAAAACGGTCGCTACGTGCCATGCGAATGCCGTAGTAGTCAGAGCCCTGATTGATCCCCCGTGTGGTCTGAAGCCCGAACACGTACTGCTTGTGGTCGGTGGCCTCGCCGGTAAGAACGGGAACATAGCTCCGGCCTTCGAGAATCTCAGGCACCGAGCCTCCTGCCGCATCGATAAACGTCGGCAACACATCGACGTATTCAACCAACGCATCACTCACGCTGCCCGCTTTCACTTTTCCAGGCCAGCGAACTACGAGCCCGTTTTGTAGCCCGGTGTCGTAACAAGTCCATTTGCCGAAGGGGAAGCTGGAACCTTGCTCAGTGGTAACGATGACCAGCGTCGAATCATCAAGGCCGTATTTTTCCAGCAACGAAAGACAGCGGCCCACCTCACCGTCGAAGTAGGTGATCTCGGCCAAGTATTTGGAGAAGTTCTCACGCGTCTCCGGCGTGTCCACAAAGTACGGAGGTAGCCTTAGCTTCTCGGGGTCGTATTTGCTCGGGTCTCCCTTGGTCCACGGTTGATGTGGCTCGGTCGAGCAGACGAATAGACAAAAGGGCGTTTCGGTTTCGCTGGTCTCAGCAAACAAAGATGCGATCGCTTTCCACCCGGGCGTCTTGTTGTTCTTGCCTGCACCGGAATACTCGAAGGGGAAGACCGACTTCGGAGCAATATGCTTCTTGCCAGTCAAGGCAACCCGGTAACCCAAGGGTTCCAGGTAGTGCACGACGCTACGAGTTCCCTCCTTGGCGAACGTGTGGTTCGGGTATGCCCCCGTCCGCACCGGGTACAGTCCGGTGTAAATGCAATGCCGCGTGGGTGAGCACATGGGCGCCGCTTGAAAGCTTTGGGTGAATCGCATCCCTTCGCTTGCCAGCCGATCGATATTCGGAGTAGCGGCCTGTCCACCGTAGCATCCTAAGTCGCGATAGGTGCAGTCGTCGGCGATGATGAATAGCAAGTTCGGCCGCGAGGGTGTTTCGTCACCTTTCGTGTCTGCCCCAATAAACAAACTTGCGACCACAGCCATACATATGTGGCAAAAAAAAGACAGTGTGGGGCGATACGTCACGGTGGGACCTTCTATGGCTGGCGTGGACAAAACTTACTGCTACTCGATTGGTATTTGCAGGGGGCTTGTGGGGGGAGATTGTCGTCACCAATTACAGCCCTCCCGCCTGCGGCTGTCAATTTTGCGGTAGGGCATTTCACAATTTGTACCAGAAGGGCAGTCGGACGATCGGGGGTCATCAGGCCAATCGAGATCGGCTATAGTGAGACCAGACGGAAAACGATCTGTTCTTGGTGAGGTCCTTCGGAAATGCGGTCCAGACAGTTCTTGACGCTTGGCTTGCTGCTGCTTTGTTCAGGCTGTAATGAAACGGAGTCTCCCACGTCGGAGTCTGCCTTTCCAGATTACTCTCCCGTCGCTTCGCAGCCGGCAACCGATACGCAGCTCGCGTTGGCTCGTCCCACCCCGGAAGAAGTGCCCAACCTGTGGACTCGCAGCAAGGGTGTCGATTGGCCAGGGTTCCTGGGACCCACCGGCGATGGGAAATCGCCCGAGAGAGGCATACTCACTGAATGGCCCGAGGATGGTCCACCCATGGTGTGGAAGATGCGCCTGGGCACCAGCTACGGATCGCCCGCCATCAGCCAGGGCCGGCTGTTCATGTTCGACCGGCACGATCCACGCCCGGGAGCGCCCGGCAAGGCGCGACTCACTTGCTACAAGGCCGAGACGGCTGAAGAGCTGTGGCGATTCGAGTATCCCACGGCCTACGAAGACATGTACGGCTACAACAACGGCCCCCGCTGTGCCCCAGTTGTGGACGAAGACCGCATCTACATTCGCGGAGCAGAAGGGATGCTGCACTGCGTGAGCGTTCTCGACGGAGAGCCGCTCTGGAAAGTAGACTTGGCCGAGCGTTTCAACATCATTCAGAACTTCTTCGGCGAAGGCAGTTCGCCCGTGATCGAGGGCGACTTGCTGATCGTGCAAGTCGGTGGCAGCCCCAAGGGCAGCAATCCGCACAACCTGATGGGGCTCGAGGGGAACGGCTCCGGCGTGGTGGCGTTCGATAAGTACACCGGTGAGATTCAATATGCCATCACCGATGAACTGTGCAGCTACGCCAGTCCAGTTCTGGCGACGATCGACGAGCGCCGGTGGTGTTTTGTTTTCTCGCGCGGAGGGCTCATCGGCTTCAACCCCAAAGATGGGGCCGTCGACATGTTCTTCCCCTGGCGGGCGAACATCCTGGAAAGCGTGAACGCCAGCAATCCGGTGGTGGTGGGGAATCGCGTGCTCATCTCAGAAACCTATGGACCCGGTAGCGCGCTGCTGGAAGTCGAGCCAGGCTCGTTCGACATTGTGTGGAGCGATGATGAACGCGGCCGGAACAAGAGCCTGCAAACCCATTGGAATACGGCCGTCTACCACGACGGGTATGTGTATGGATCAAGCGGTCGCCACACCAACAACGCCGAGCTGCGCTGTGTCGACTTCAACACCGGCGAAGTTCAATGGAGCGAACCGGGGCTAGGCCGGGCCTCACTCACTTACATCGACGGGCATTTCATCTGCCTGTGCGAGTACGGCGAACTGCTATTACTGAAAGCCAACCCCGAGAAGTTCGAAGTTGTCGACCAGGTCGTCCTTCAAGGCGACAAGGACGAGCGAAATATTCCCGGTCTAAGTGAGCCCCGTCTGCTGGCCTACCCCGCCTGGGCTTCACCGGTTATTTCCCACGGCCTTCTTTTCGTCCGTGGCGACAAACACCTAGTGTGTTTGGAACTCATCCCTGAGTGATGCGGCAGCGATTTCGTCTGTCAGGCTTGGGTGCGCATTGCACTTCTTCGGCATCTATACTGGCGGTGCGTTGACCG